GTCTCTCAACACTCACTCTGAGACGCATTAAATATTCAAGCTGATGAATTGTCCTGCTTTTGTCGTTACGAGGGAGAAAGACCAAGTACAAGGGCATTTTAACTATGTCTGGGCCTCTGCGTCGTGTGTGAGTTGTATCACGTTCTCAACTTGATATCCAAGTTCAGTAAGAGCTTCTCCTACGTCAACCGGCGGAGTGTAGGAAGGTATTGCTTCTTACTACCACTTTAATCTTTTTCTCGTCTGGTAAGACATGCGTGTAGTATTTTATTCCTTTCCTGTTGAAGAGAGCAGTAATTTGTCTGTGGGAATCAGTCGTGGAGACTTTTATGTCAAACTGATAATCCCCCTTCATGCTTGCCTGGCATTTATGGTCGTCTAACAACTTAATTAGCTGCTTCCGTGTGATATCAGCATCTTTCACCGTAATCGGCGGGATTTTAGCTTTACGTTGCGGATATTGGAATCCCTCTGTAACATCATCCTGTGAAGCTTCTGTATTGGTCGGTTGAACCGTGACTTCGCTGGGGCTCTCCTGATTGGCCGGCGCGGTCGTGGCGTTCTCCGTCGTTACGGGCTTGGGAGCAGGGATGCTTTCCTGTAAATTACACTTGGCTTGCGCTCCAAATGAAATTACCTCTTTAGCCGATTCCGAAAGTTTATGCTTGATTTGTTTTTTCTTCTTCTGCTTTTTATTAGGTTGAGGAATCACTGAAGAGGATTCAGCTTCCGGTTCGTGATTATCGTCGCTTTCGTCGTGGAGGACAGAATATCTGTTGTTCTGAAATTCGGCTTTAGATTCCGTATCGCCGTTGATGGGGCTGCGCGGCCTTTTGTTTCTGACTTCTTGAAACTCCATATCTTCCTGTCCTTGTTCCTCTGAATGCAGCTTCGGGAAATCCTGAGGATTGAAGCCTGGGCACATGGATTGAAAGTCAGTCCCGTCATCCACCAGGAAGAACATAATCTTGGTCAGGAACTTTAGCGTAAGCACTTCATCAGGGTTTAGGGTAGAAGTTTTCTTGAGTTCTCCGAGCCTGGCGAATTATTTAAACATTTGCAGCAGAAACGCCATCTTGGTTCACACTTGTAAATTATCGAAGTCGCGAAAAATAAAATTAAATCAGTGCAAATGCGCTAAGGCCGTTTTACAACACGTCGATCACTGAAGACCTATGTGAAAACCTTCTATGTGCTAACACTGGTACTGAACAGAAATAACTTACTCTCCGCGTACCAGAAGGGTTTATATAGCTTTTGGCTTGTGTTGGAGACCATTCTGGGCTAAACCGGTAAGAATTTGTTCTAGAAGGTCTCCATTCGTCCATAGTATATCGCCAATTTTGTCGCCAAATGGATGATTTCTCGCCAAACATGGCAACTCTGCCTTTCTTTGACATTTTATGGCAGCCCTAAACCTGCTTTGCGGGGAAGCTATCTTACCGCGCCTTGACATTTCGTAACAATATTTTTAAATGATGTATGTTGTATAAAGGTATAGCAGTGTTTCACAAGATTTCGTTCATAAGAAAATAAGTTAATGAAAACGGGCATTCACGAAAGAAAATCCTACTATAAGAAATTAAAAAATAGAGTATATGTGAAACCGGCGCTAGTGAATTAAGTTGGAACTGAACTAAGTTTGATGAAATGTAACATTTTGAGCTAGAAATAAAAGTATAGTAATAAAATACGATTTCAAGAGATAAAATGATAACCAATAGGTAAAATTAATGGTAATTCACCTCTGATTCAATACTGAAAATGTTTATCTTAGGAATTTCTTTTGTATATGTAACGTAAATAATCGTTAATTTCATCGGATTAATAGTCGGCAATGATACCGTTGGGGCCCATGAAGGCAGAAAAGCTGCCCATGAAGGCAGAAATATCCGTACTTAGTGCAGATAAAAGGTAATAAAGTGAAAATTTGCATAGTCGGGACATTTAAAGTCATGTAGAATGCAATCAATTAGTACAAAATCCTGAAATAAAAGTGTACTGAGCGTTCAAAATAATAAGACAGAATTTTGTATGTGTAAATGAAACAATGAATTTGGTTCTAAAATTAGGGATAAAAATTAAGATTTCATTCTAAAAATTCGGAATCTCTCAAAGTAGCTCAATGAGAATGTAGATTCAAAACTGAATATTGGTCACACTGAACAGCTTAAAAAACATATATTCAGAAATAAAGGGTATTAAGAATTGAAAGGAAATACTGGAATATGCAGGAAATTATAAAGTTTGAAAATGCGAATGAAGTTTATAATGAAGTAAAATGGTAGAATCAGTCATGGTAAGAGTACTACAGAATGATACACTCTTTTGCAAAAAAATCGAAGCACTTTTGCGATCGTGACGAAACTTGGTATGTAAAAACATCTTGATCGAACATGCAAATTGTCAAAGTTTCAAGGCAAATGAACAGAAATTGCGATCATAGCGCGCATTTCTAGTGCCAATTCGCATAAATTAAAGCCAGTAACAGAGGCGGAAATTTTATCTTTTTTTTGTTGCTGCCATTGTGATTCCGTAAAGAAGCAACTAAAGATGCCATTACGGCTATATCGAACACCTTACAAACAACTAAACAACTTCGAACGTGGTCGCATTGTAGGGTAGCGTGAAGCTGGGTTGTCATACTGAGCAATAGGCCGCCACCTGCAGCGTACAGATACTGCTGTGCAAAGATGTTGGCAACAATGGTCGCTACAAAGGAAATTGCCGATGAAATGAAGCCTCTGGAAGGCCAAGAAGCACAAATGCGAGGAAAGATAGGATGATTGTTCGCCAGGCAGGAACCGCCCGAAACGATATCATTGTCGACTATTCAACGCACTACAACCACGTCTGTACCTCCCGTGGTACCGTCCACTAACTTTTCACCGCTTTTTCTGACGCCGGGTTACGCTCACAGAGGCCTTTGACCCCACAACATCGGCGGAGTTGTCTGTAGGGATGTCGCAGTCGATCATCATGGCTGCCATCAGACTGGCATCGTATAGTGTTCAACGATGAATCCTGCTTCATTCTTGAAGCAGATGACCACCGTGTTCGTGTCTGGAGAGGACTGGGCCAGCGGTCCCAATCAAAGGCATTTTACAAAGCCATACAGCCATAACCCCTTGTGTGATGGTATGGGGCGCTATTTCTTATGACAGCAGGTAATCTTTAGCTATCCTCCGTACATCTTTAACAGCTCAACAATATGTTGATACCATCCTGCGGTTGGTTGCATTACCCTTCATGGCACGCCAAACTGGGGCCATTTTCCAACAAGATAATGCCAGACCGCATACCGCTCGCATATCTCTGGACTGTCTCCGTGCGGTTTATACTCTTCCTTGGCCAGCAAGGTCACCATACCTTTCACCAATCGAGCATGTAATTAAGATTACGGAAAGTAAATATGGTATTATGAACAGATTTAAGGAATAGGGTAAAATTCCGTGTATGTAGGAAACAATAAGGCTTAAAATATACGGCAAAATTAATAACTTACATCTAAAACTAAGGCTTTGTCAATCAATCATTTAATTCGAAAATAATCGCCATTAAGGGTACCTAGGAAATAAACATCATATACATGATAAAATAGTTGGAATACGAAGAAAGTACAAAGGATAAAAATTGATTCAGAAAGGAAATCACTTCTGGTAAATCAATAAAAGATAATCTCTTATCAAATTGTGACGTCGAGATCACACTATTGCTCCTCATAGTAACCCATGGTTGCCATTACTCCAAATGCCGATACCATGTTGCCGTTGCCACTCGATTGAATTTCAGTGTTGCCACTCCGTATCTTTAATTCCATAGCAGCAGAACTCCTCCACTCTACAATCTCCACCCTTCCCGGCGGTATCATGCATGATGTGGCCTCCCTTCCGGGAACGTCACTGTCCACGCCCACCCCTCACACCCCAAGTGCAGGTGAACTGTTACTTTCTATCTACTAGCATATCTGAAACTTGCTGAGTTGTTGTGCATCTACCAGCTTTTACAAAAGAACGAATTTTTCTACAAATTTTCTTTAGTCTTTGAACGTGAACAGCGCTCTGTCTTTGGTTCATCTTCAGCGCTTTTGCACCCACTCTTAAAGCGGTTGTACTACTCATATACCTGTTTTCGTAACAACGATGCATTCCAATAATTTTTCGAATCATCTATATTATGTCGGTTACAGATTTATCTAGTTTGTAAGAAAATTTAATGTTATAATGCTGTTCAATCTTGGAGTTGTAGAATGCCTTTTCAGTAAATGAAAAACTTAGGCGTTGTGATATGCAAATCACAAAACAACCAGTTTAAATTGAAAACGAAAAAGAAAAAAAAGAAACGAAAGAACTGAGATGTCACTTTCTCTAAACATACATTTATTCTTTCACTTTTTATTTCATCGTTTGTTTTTTAATTTGTCTGATTACTTTATGGGCACTTCTTGTACAAAAGTGTTTTGGTGAAAGTCACAACAACTGCGCCAAATTTCGATTTATGCGTTAAGTGGCTCGAAAAGTCGAAATCATTTCATTAAGGATGTGCCTGAAGTTAGAAAACATTTTAATGTGCATAAAATTTTTAAATTTACTTTCATTCAAAATAGTCGAACAATTTTTATTTGAGGAAATAATGCGTTTTCAGATTTTGCAGAATTTTAGCATAAATTAAAACGCGTTTTGTTCGATACTGAGTTGTACTTTCCGAGTATTCTTCACAGACGGAAATATATCAGCAATTTATTTCCGCTCTTAATTTTTTTTTTTTTTTTTTTTTTTTGTGATGTTGGGAGGTACTGGTCATTTGTGTTCTTGAATTTTCCATGGATTTTTCCTTTTTAAACGACACATGCGAATACAAAATACTTCCTTTTCTTAGATGCCACTGAAATTTGATATTCGTTCTGATCAGTTTCATATATCATATTACGACTGATTTCACAAAATGGTTCGCGGTTTTCTTTCTGTGTTGTAGAATTCTTTGAAATACTAGTATAACAATCTTATTTCGTGATCCCATGAGTATAAAAGAAATTATTTCCGCTGTGACTTAAAGAATGCTGCGGGAAATGGGGTTGGAGGAAAGTCAGAATATAAAGAATTTAAGTGAAAAGGCAGCTCTTTCAAATTTACTGTTTATACGCTTTTGCTAACATGAAATTCGTCATCTTATTCCCACTGTGTTTCTGGATCGTACTTATTGTAAGTATACCCTTTTTCTTTTAATTTTAATTTCTCTTTTTTATCAATTTTACTTGGAAAAAAGCCTCAGAAAATAACGTATTGTTTAGCCGACTCTTCGAAATTCGATTTTATTCGACATCTTTACTGAAATGTATTCTGAAAAAATATTATTATGTGTATGCTGCTCCATTAATATGTGTCCGTGACTTACGTTGGGATGGAATGCTACCAAATGTATTTTAAAATTCATTCAAAAGTGTAATTTAATGTTTTGAAATAAGAATTTAAAAAAAATAATCTGAGTGGTTTTAGATTTTAACGGTCCTTCGAAAGTTTTTTTTAATATGTGTCTGTGAGTTACGTTGGGATGGAATGCTACCAAATGTATTTTAAAATTCATTCAAAAGTATAATTTAATGTTTTGAAATAAGAATTAAAAAGTAATCTGAGTGGTTTTAGATTTTAACGGTCCTTCGAAAGTTTTTGTTAAGGTCTTTAACGCACTCGCTGAGCTAGCAGTCTGCGGTTGCACTCACTCTTACTAACTCTTTTTTTTTTTTTTTTTTTTTGTCTTTTTAGCTTTATCATTAACAATAATTTTCTTCGCACTTACGCTATACACAGGTCAACAGCAAAGTTACAAGGATTTTTAAAAGTAGCATAGCAGTTCCTGTTTAGAATTCCCAATGCAGCGTTAAGTGTTGGCAGTATTCATTTTTCTTTTTTTTTTTTTTTTTTGCCCTATCTTCCTCCCCCCAGTCTTTTATCAGTTCATCATACCAATGTTCGGTTTTCTTATTAAGATGTCTTTACAAAACTGTTCTTTGTCTTTTTATTATAAATGCTTTATGCGTTTACTTTATTTATTAAATATCACGTTCTTGGCGGTTACGCCAAGTAAACTTTCATTCATCATCAGAATCACGAAATATTCAAAACAGTATATCTTTAGAATTTCTGATAGACAGTCTCGTAGCGCTGGAGATAAAAATATTTTATTCCGCAATCAAAAATTCTTTAAAGTTTTACAAAATATATAATAAAACAAATTCAAAATTCGGGCTTAAAAATTAAAGATAAATACTTTCTTCATTATAAAAGCATTAATTTAAAAGCATTGTTTCGAATTACTTCCTATAAAAAGGCTAAAATCTGGAATTTTATATTTAATGAAATTCAATTTTATACTATTCGTGTACATACTATATGCTTGTTTATATGGTCGCTTCACTTTAGGGGAAAATAGTTTAGGTTCTATAATTTTGATAGTTTTAAATAGAAGCAGGATTCTATATTACTTAATTCGCTTTTATTCCTCCTAAAAGGCCATCGGTAAATTAGAAAGAAATTTATAAACTGGATTTTTTATTACGAGTCTATATGAAAATAAAAATTTCGACCAATTTTACTAAAAATGCCACATGGTAAAATTTGTTATTGTGAGAAAATTTATTTGATTCATAGTTTTACCAGCAGTTTTCTTAATCTATGACTTTTAAATCATTTACTTCATTAATCTGTAAAATATTGCTAACTTTTGGGAGAAAAATTGGAAGATGTTATGTTTTACTGAATGGCAAAGTTCTGAGATTCTTCTATACATCAAAGTCTGTGGGAGATAAAAGTTTTACATTTCGCGCTGTGGTAAAACTTACCAAGGTGAATGAGTGATATATGTTATGTCTTACATATTTTTCGTTAAACTGAAAGAGGAACAAACAAATATAAAGTTTAAAATTTGGCAAAAAGACAGTCTTAGTTTGTCGTAGACTTTTTAATAAAACTATACTGATTTCGAATGCGATCCGACACAGGTCCCTCTTCTTCAAGAGTAAAACAAACTTTTGTATACAGTGACGACCATTTTATGTACAAAGTAATGGACGGAACAAAGTGAAAACGAACAGAGCGCATTTGTCGAGGAAAATAGCATTAAAATATGAAAACTTAAAATTGAAAATTTTGAAAGCGTTCGGAAAAACTAGATTAAATCTTAATCTTCCCCGTTTCACTATCATTTTCCTAGATAGATGGCCCCATATTAGATTTTGTTTTGTTCCGTCCATTGCTTTTAATATAAACTATCGTCTCTTCTCCCCTTTTCGCACTTCTTTTTTCTTTTTCTGAAGAAGAAAGAGGATTTGTATCTGAGCGCCCTCAATGCATAGAGTTTTATTCACAGTGTACACTAGACTAAAATTGCTTTTTGCATAATTTTATATCCTTTCCAATCTTCGCCTGCCAATTTCCGATGCATGATCACGTCCATACGAATTTTATAGTGTTAGAACATATGTTAATTCAAATTAATGATACCATATCGAGGCTTTAAAAAGAAGATTTTAGAATAAAAATTTTTTTACCCATACAACTAAATAAATAATAAAAATAAATGTCAGTGTTATAAAATTTCTCACTTTGCGATTATAAAAATTTGCACTGCCTTGTCGAAAGCTATAAATAAATTAAAATAGTCATTATTTGCTAGTATTTTAAATTCTCTTGACCAAGAAACTACACTATCTTTCAAAAGTTGAACACGCGACCGTAAAATCAACAAAAATGGAAAAGTAAAGATTTTGCACAAGATGTTGCAAATGCACAGGACGTTAGCAAATGCTTTTATGCATGAAAACAAACTTAAGCTCAAACATTATTTAAATTTCGTAATTTATAGGATGGCGTCATATTTGAGTCACTAACAAATTGATGTTTAAAGTTAAAAACAAGTCAAACACAGTTTAAAATGATAAAATATGTGACCCCACCGGACCTTCAAAAACACATTACGGCGATTGTCCATGTTTTGAATGAATTGATCAGCCATCACAGATGTTAATACAGTAAAAGTCCAGAAATCCACAAAGCTTGGGACTAGAGGTTGTGCAGATTTTAGGATTTCAGGACAGAAAAGATAAAGCATAATATTCAGACTAAAAGTGTAAAGTAAATAAGGCGTATTAGATACATTTAATTAAATTATTATATACATTATTGTAATAATTCATTAAATGCATTTAATTATTATTACATATATACATTGATTATATTATTGATTGTATTATACACTGACTACCAATAAGTATTTGGACACCTATGCAAATGACGATATGTACGGTCCCAAGGTACGCCACGGACTCCGCCGGTACATATCGTGTAGGAAACAGCATCGGCTTTAGTCGCATGCAAGATGCCTCACAGTTCGGAGCTCTCTGATTTCGAGAAAGGTATAATTATCGTGTATCACAAATGTGGCCGATCCTTAAAGGACATATCTAGCGATCTGAAGTACCCAATATTGACAGTAGCCTATGTGATTAAGAAGTGGAAGGTGAGGGGTGATTGTCGGAATGTGCCCCGAGTCGGCAGACCAACGAAACTGGGGGATAGAGACCGACGAGTGCTGTTCAGAGAAATTCGGAAGAACCGCACCTAACCGATAGCCCTCATCCACGAGGAGTTTCAACAGGCATCCGGGAGTATTGTTTCAATGAATACCATCCGTAAGGAAGCACATCTGCTTGGGTTTCATGATCGTGCTGCTGCCCATAAGCTTTTGATAACAAAGTCCAACCGCGCTGCTCGGTTAATGTGGTGCAAAGCACATCGAAATTGGACCGTAGATCAGTGGAAACGGGGTTTTTGGAGTGACGAATCAAGGTTCACCCTTTACCGGTCGGATGGCAGGGTCTGGGTCTGGCGTCTACCTGGAGAACGTCTCCTGCCAGAATGCATTGTGCCAACAGTCAAGTTCGGCGAAGGTGGAATTATGGTCTGGGGTGTTTCTCCTGGTATGGGCTGGGACCCTTGGTCCCCATTCATGGTAAGCTCAACTCCAACTCCGATGCCTACTGCACTATTTTGGATGACAATGTACTTCCTACGTTGTGGCAGTTTTACGGGTTGGACCCCTGTTACTTTCAGGACGACAATGCCAGTTGTCATGTTTTGACGTTAACCAAGGCTTGGTATGGTGCCAATGGAGTTCATCGAATGAACTGGCCTGCCCAGAGTCCAGACCTGAACTCTATCGAGAACCTCTGGGACGAGTTGCATCGCCGAATTCAGGGGTGCACTACCCGTGCAATTCGGTGAAGGAACTTCTATGTCTTCTCCAAGCCGAGTGGAAGAAAATACCACTAGCTGTCATACAAAGACTTGTGGAAAGTATGCCCCGGAGGGTCCACGCTGTAAATATCTCTCGTAGAGGCTCCACAAACTATTGATTTTGAATAAAGTTAGTTTTTCCTTTCTATCACAGGTGTCCAAATACTTATTGGTACTCAGTGTACGTACACAGCGTCGAAGTTTGCCAATTCCGCCTCATGCAAAGATTTCCGGTTTCGGATTCCGGTGTTAGAATCACTGTTGCTATAAAATTTCAACAGCTTTTCTTTATTTTTCCTTATATCATACACAATCGTGTCGCAATTCCATACGATCTTGCTATAAACCGAGGAGTAGCACTTTCCTCCATCTTTTGCAGAATTTACACTTTTTGCATTACCGTCAATGCAACGTGTTTACGTTTTTCAACGTTGCAAGAAGCAGTAAAATCATGAATGAGTTTCTTATCTGTCACTTTATTAAAAACGGCTGAAATTTAAAATATTCTTATCCACAAAATATCCGGATAAAAAAAAGGCAGCACTAAACAATTTCGGGAAATAACAAAGCTCAGAAAATAAAACAACGGGAATCGTGAGCTTGAAAGAAGAGTTGAATCGTCTGCTCTTTTTTTAACCTCGATGCAGATTAGAGGGAAAAACATTTATCATGATGTCAATAATTTGGTATTTCCGTTATGACTCATTATTATTCGGTAATTATGACGTCATTATTCGGTAAGTATTTTTCCTTCCATATTTTTTCGGTATTTGACTGTAGTGGCCATTCCTCCATGGGGGTAGTTTCCAACTGCCTGAAATTAGTTGGAGGAGTCAAGCGTGCAGCACGTCCAAGCGCAACCCAAAGATTTTTCAAGATTTTAATCTGAGGAATATGACAGCCACTCCATATGAGAAATACTTTCATTCTTCGAATAAACATTAGCGAAATGGGGAAGGGCATTATCATCCATAAGGAGAAAACCAGGACTAACCGTTGCAGCCTAGAGCCTCAGAACCGTTGCAGGCCTTCATCCCGACACTGCGCAGCCGTCAAGGGCAACTAAGTGCAATATCCCATTGAAATTACAGCACACACTCCTATCTCTGAACGCATGATGTTCGATGTTCTGGGCCTGTCCGTGAATCTCGTTCTTTCAAGATTCTTACATGTTTATCTTCGATTCCAAGGGAAATCTGGACTCGTCAGTCAATAAGACATTGCAACAATTTAAGACAGTCTAGTTCAGATTCTGATGACATCACTTTGAGCTTGTTTCTCTGTATTGGGCAGGTTAGTGGAGCAAAAATATATTTTACTCTGCACAGTCCCTTCCTGTGAATCCTTCGACACACGGTTCAGATAGATACTACCTTTCAAGCGACGCTGAAACCATGGATGTTACAGATATGAAGGTCGCTCGTCGATTCCGCTTGGGAACTATAGCAATATACCGATCTTCAGAAGGGATGGTAACCTTATTCGACCGGGCGCAAGTCTCCGAACCACTATTTCACTTGTTTGGAATTGTTTTCAAATTGGAGAAATTGCAGAAGGATCAACGTCAAAGAAAAGAATGATATCTTTGATTGATTTCCTGCTTCAATGCGTCTGATCTCGCGCCAGGGCTCATTATCTCCCACTCGTCTTCTTTCAGCCATAAAAACAGGAATATCATAAAAAACTACACTATGAAAGTTACAAATACTTCATCTCAGCATTTAAATAAACCTCCTCAAACCCTTCAGAATGCTGGTGTACCTTCAGAATGCGGTTTTTAGCCTCCCAAATTCAACTACGTTTTCGAAAATTGCTAATTTGCATTGTGTGCTTAATTTTTGGAAGCCAGTGTGTGTTCTGTCAATGCAACGTATGTAATTATTTACACTTACCTAATATTGTACATACATATGTTTATTTGTACATACATAATATTATTTCTTGTTACAGGATGGTAAACCAAAGGGGTATTACGGTGAGTGAACAATTTTATGGTAATTTTTTCTATACTTCTTTGTGGTTTTAAATTATTTTTTGTGGTATATCTTTACATACCACTGGGCGTTTTAAAACTATGGAACAAACTTTAAGCACTGACAGAGCAAATTGAGGGGAAGGGGAGCCATTTCATTACAGAATGAATGGTCGTTTTCTCGCCCAAGCGTCATTTGCAATGAAAAGACACAGTACAATTCCAAAGTGTAAAATAATTGGTTTTTCGACTCTATTTTAGAGTCATTAGGATTTTTTGAAGGAGGAAACATGAAAATGAGCAATGCCCTCGCCAGGACTCAATCATGGACTTCTCGAATACCCGCCAAGTGTGCTACCGTTACACCATGAAGGCATGCAGAAAGGAGGGAGAAGATACCTTATATATTCCCCCTTTTAAAGAGCGATTGAGGATTAAGGGATCCAATCCCCAAATCCTGGTGGTGAAGAATCATCATCCACCACCCTTTAGTTCGGGCGCTACTTAGATTCATTAGGATTATCGAAACAGGAGATGATGAAAATGTGCAATGCCCTCGCCGAGACCCTAGCCTGGACCTCTCGAATACGCGCCGTTATACTAACCATTACACCTCGAATGCATGCTGGAAGGAGGGAGAAAATACCTCATATACACTCCCTTTTAAAGGGTGCCTGGGGATTAGGGGACCTAGTCGTCGAATGCTGGTGGAGAAGAATCATCATCCAGCACCCTTTAGTTCGAGTGCTGGATGAAGATCTGTCTGTCATTTGTTTATTTTGAAGCAGGAGACGTGAAAAATGAGCAATACCCTCGCCGGGACTCCAACCTGAACCTCTCGAATACGCGCAGAATGTGCTACCGTTACATCACAAAGGCATGCAGAAAGGAGGGAAAAAATACCTCACAGCATCATTATTATTCGTTTTCCGATCATGTGTGTACATACACACACGCACTCACACATATCTTATATATATGCGGCTTAAGTGCTTGTCGCCGATAGTTTATTGATTGCTTGCGTAACTGTAAATTGTTTTATTCCCCGTGCAGTGCAGCGCGTGACGAATATTATGAAAAAGCTAAGCCAGAAAAATTAAAAATACAAGAGCACGTGCACTTAACATTTAATAAATAAATTTAACATCTGTTTGTCGCCGATAGTTTATTGGTTGCTTGCGTAACTGTAAATTGTTTATTAAATATAAATATATATCTATTGTTTTTCGTGTTAGGCAAAACCTTCTTTCATGGGATAGGATCAGAATCCCTCACTCACTGTAATAAACTGGTTCTTATTTATAACTCCTACTCACAAACAGTAACCTTGATGAAACAGATCGGGAACAAGGGGTGAATCAATATCGGTTAGCAAGGTAGAAGTGAAGAGCGAAAAGAATTGAACGAACCGTGGAATCGGAATAATTGACCCAATCAAAAGGTAACTCCATGAACTGATTTCTTACAACTATATTTTTTTAGATTACTTAAACCTTACTTTCTACATAGTCTAACAATAAAATTCTTGAATAAAAATTTTTCAAAAATTTGGAAATCATAAAAATTAAACTCACTTTTAACCATGGGAGGATAAACATTCTTTTCTTCTCTAAACTGGGAACAGGAATTTTTTGGCATGCTTCCAACAATAGCACCAATTTTTTTCTTTTCGCGAAACAGACTTTCGCTCGCTCAGTAAAGTGAAATAATTCATGAACGAACAGTGGATCACTGTTTCTCGCACTTTTCCTACCAGAGCTCTCCGTGAACTATAAAACAGCTACATTTCTCTCTTCCGGAATCGGTGTAAAGTGAATCGGTTCTTTTAAACACTTCTGGAGCTAAACGACCAACTCTATTAGAGACCTGAAGTAGATCGGTGTACGAATGAGGAAAAGGCGCGTATAGTATCAACTGTCTTTGCGTTGAGTAATGTGGCATATGTGGAGAAATGCAAGGTATCCTCCAGCGTTTTACCGCTTAACGTGCTACCATGCTTCTCTGAATTAAAATTTTGTTTCAGTAAGTTCTACTACCAGTAAAATTTGTTCCATTCGTTTTGAAACAGCCTATATACCTTTTACAATATTGATTCCATAGCTTTTTAAAGTTTTCTTAAAAAATATGTTACATACAGGCCTTTGCACTGTAAAATAATTATTTCTATCAGCCTGCATGTTTGCGTGACATTAGGTTTTGCAGTTGTAGTCCAAATATCCCATTTAAAGAGTAAAATTTTTTATGGAATTATTTAAAGGTAATTGAAGTAACTCCTAAACGTAGTTTTATTTACTTAATTTTTAGTAACTTAATTTCTGAATATTATTAAGGGGTGGGTAAGATTTAAAATAGTTAAAAATCTACAAAAATTTTGAATTTTTCCCTTACATTTATAACATTAACTATATATTAACTTACTAACTTTATAATATTAAAGTTATAGTGTGCAAAAAACCATATTCAAATATTCTAAATCTAAAAGAGGTTGTACAGTCATAAGGATTTTTTTGGAAGCGGGAGATGTGAAAAATGAGCAAGGCCTTCATCAGGACTCGAACCACGGGCCTCTCGAATACGTACCGAGCGTGCTGACAACTGCACTACGAAGGCATGCTGAGAAGGAAGGAGAAATACCTTATAAAGTTATAAAAATTTTAATTTCCTTTAAATTTCGGAAATCTATATGTAAACCAATATGTTATAATTTATATATTTAAATTTTTATAATTCTAGTTATATGTGACAGCATTATCAACTATCAATGAACTGTGGATGTATATATATATATATATATATATATATATATATATAATATATACTGAAAGCGCAGAACAAGATGAAGTAAACTCGCTTTCCTACCCATTGCACAAAAGGGTGATCAACGTCGTCAGAACCATAGCGAAAACGTTACCTTGTTTGCGGGGAGGGGGAATAGCAAAAAATATTTTAAAATCCTAAAAGATAATTTCAGTGTTACAAATGGAGATAAAACATGCAATGCTGCTTAATTTTAGGATTTTCAACGACTAACGGATTTTAACGTGCAAGACTTTAGAAAGTAAATTGTTTATATTATACACTGAAGTTCCACTGAATTAGGGACAGACACGGCTATGCAAATTTTACAGCGCAGCGCGGCATCTGTGCTCACGTGAGGAAGTTGTGGTAAATGCACATACAGCTAGTACTATGGTTGTTATTAATCAGTCGTTTCAATTGCTATAGAACTTCTGATTTAGACAGCTTTAATCTCCGGATAGATAGTAGACACTCGACGCATGGGCCATTCAATTTCCAAAATCCTCAGCGGGTAGGATTTTCAAGATAGACAGTGTGAAGGGTATACCGAGAATACACGGATGGTGGAAAAAAGAGCTAGCCATCGAGCAAATTGCAATGGACAATTAACCTATAACAAGCGTGGTGTGAGATGGCTCAGCTATATTGTACATAGTGAACGAAGCCAAATATTAACTCAAATTACCACCCAGCTGAATCAGGGCGACAGTCGTACAGTCAGTAGAAGGAATATTTCAACGCTCGCTTCACCATATGGGCTTCGGAAGCCGTAGACACACGAGAGTACCTTGCTGAATGCATGCCATCAAGCTGCACTTCTTGCCTGGGCAAAGAAAATATAGAAAATAGACTCTAGTGGACTTGAAATGAGTAGCAAGGAGTCTCGATTTCGACTAATTAATACCGATGGGAGGCTGAGACTATGACGTCAGACTCATGAAGCTATGAACCCTGTATAGCAGATCGGAACTGTACAAGGCCATGGTTGCTTAATCATGGTCTGGGATGTTTTCTCTTGCTAGTGTTTGAGATCTTTGGTAGTTGTACTAACCTCCCTCAATATGATTCGGTACGTAGAGTTGCTGGGCGATCATCTCCATCCATTTATGTTGTCCTGTCATTCACACAGAAATGGAGTATCCTAACAAGACAACTGCACCTTTCACAGGACCACCCGGTTGGCTACTGCCTGGTTGGATGAGCGTTCTTCTAAATTCTCTGTCATAAATTGGCTACTTAAAAGCCATGACTTAAACTCTACTGAGCATCTTTGGTACGTTTTGGAGAAAGGTTTGAAATCTCATCACACAGCACTAGCGACTCTTCCTAAATTATAGACAGCTCTATCCGATGTTTGTCAAGCCATTCCCGTAGAATGCTTCTAGAAACTTATTGAATCTATGCTTCATCGTTTGGAAGCCATTATAAAGTCCAGAGGATACCCAACTCGTTATTGAATAGCTGTACCTAATTCAGTGGCACTTCTGTGTGTTTATTCTATTATATTTGATATTATGAGGCTGAAAATGCTTAAATGAGAAGAAAATAGTACCTAATGTGTACATATTCATATGTAAAGGTAATTTAGTATTTCTTATCAGCGTGTATTAAATATAAGTCTGAAGAAGATCTCTAAATACAATTTTCTCACAATGATTTTTTTTACAGTTCATATGTCTTGAAAATGCTTTATGCGTTGTCTCATTTTTTGTTACAACTGAGTGATATTTGGAAGAAACTATCTTATCATATGCAATCACATCATATGAAATCACACAGTAAATCACATCTCGTATATCTGTAATAAACATTAATATGCTGCAGTGTATGTATTTCTGGATATAAGTTAATTAACAAGTTTAAACTTGTGATAACATTTAATAAAAGGTGAATTTTTTGTCAAACTCGGTTTGAATTCACAAAGTCAAACGTTTAAAAGTTTCATTATTTATCACATTCAAAAATGCATAAAAAACGTCCTGAAACAAATTTGCATAACCAAATTTGTTTTAGGACTTTTTAAGTAATTTAGTGCAAAAATTAGAATAAGGTATTGAAAATTAGTACGCAAGGAACACTTTAAATACTTTTTTATCCTTTAGATCAGGGGTCCCCGACATTTTTGTCCCTAAGAGCACATTCTAGAATATCTGGACGGCGGGCACCGCTTACTTTTTTCAGTGTCAATACATAGTTGGATAGAGTTAATAATACATGCACATAAAAAAAAAAAGAGAAATCGGTAGTATTTTGCTTCATGCTGGTATCCATCTGTGTTGGACGCAATTTCTATTTCATTAAAAATTTGAAAACTTTCATATAGAATTATATTGAAAATTGAAACATTTTTATTGCGATCGCACAGCGAAGGCCACATATTAAACGATCGGCGGGGACCATGGTGCCTGTGGGCATAGGGTTCAGAACCCCTGCTTTAGATGTATTATTACTAAAGCCTTTACTGTTAAGATTTTAAGAATTTTAGTTTTGAAATATTTATTTTTGCATTTCTGCCAATACTGGCTGCAAAGAAGTCCTCAATTCACGTGTCTTTGGGGACCCACCAGCGGCCGAGCGGTAAAGTCGCTGAACACTGTTAGTTCGGTCCGAGGTTCGAATCCGAACAGGCTGGCTGCATGGGAGTTTTCGTGGTTTTCTCATGTGTAACGTGTATAAGAGCCAGTTTCCCTTAAAAAGTGCTCCACGAAGCCATCTCTTCCCTTAGACAGATAGCCCTCGAGGCTTTCCCATAATCACACACACACATGTGTCTTTGGCTACTAGAACTTTTATGAGAGTGTCTAGCAACTATTCGCAGGTCTCTTTACAACTATACAAAATAAAAGTCTAAAAGAAGGGTTAAAATACCCTTTTATTCACTCAAACAAACACTCAGAGTCGCCCCTTCTCGGGCTTACAGGGAAGTCTTCATTTGGGCGTTAACTTAAGGTAAAAAATAAGAAACTAAACTAATTCTAACTAGCTAAACTTTAGTCGAAGCTATACAAAGATAACTAACCGAGTTGGACCATAATTAAACCTCACCGGCAAATACTAACAGGCGCTTAAGATTACTGCCATTCATAGTCAGATAGGGTTAAAGAAAAGACGTGGCCCGAAGGCAGAAAACGCTCTACTAAGAACTTCTAAGCTCTACTGAAGTGACTAAATTTTCCCGTTAAATACTGATACTGAAATCTCATTCTGGTAGATGCAAAATAAAAATTTAAAGGAAAGTTTCTCAAATTTGAAAATAGCCATTAGAAAATTAAAATAATCCCTACAGTCTAATGAAAAAGCATTTACTAACATTCTTCCCATTATTAATTATGATTCAGTGGATCAAACCACTCTATCAGTACCTCTAAAACAGTATTTCTCATCCTCTTCTGCTCCATACACCCTTTTTACCACTGCTATAGTATCCACTGCTATACACACCACAGCATACTCCTATTTTCCTAAACTCGAAAAATACATGCGCGTTTATTTAAATTTACATTATTTTTAATGTGCTTTTAAAATTAAATAAGAAAAAGTATAGAAAATGTTGATAAGTACCAAAACTTGAATTAAAAGTAGTTTTTTTTATAGCCTTAACAGATAAATAAAAGACTGAGTGCATGCCCCCTCCCCGAAACTACAAAATTTAGAGAAATTCTCCCCTGATTGAGAACCTCGCTCTAAGATTATCACGTTTTAATAGTTTTCTAATAATAAACATTTTCAAACAGTTCTGAATTTTTACAAGTCACATGAATATAAGTCACATATAAGAATAATTTTATAAGTCACATATAAGAATTTTATAAGGTCAAACTCTCTTTTTTTATATTCTTAAGAGCAATTCGTCAACTATAGACCTGGGTTTGAATTTTCATCCATAGCTACAGTCGCTTCAGTAATAATCGAAAAAATAGAAGTTTGTCTTAAAATTTTATTTGAGACCTATTATGAATTCATTCATTGCTTCATTAACTAAATGAATCAATTCACTTATAAGGTATTTCTCCCGCCTTCTTAGCATGCCTTTCTGGTGTAGTGGTCAGCATACTCAGCGCGTATTCGAGAGGTCTATGGTTCGAGTCACGGGGACCCCGCTGCTCATTTTTCATGTCTCCTGCTTCGAAATTATCTATTGTCTCTACACATTAATTTTTCTTTTTCTCTAGTTCAAAAATACTTCTTGTTCCAGAGTAGGCATTACACTTACGATTTCAGTTATTTTTCTCCTGTCTGTGAACATTTTTTCCCATTTATTATCATTTTGGATTTCATTAAGAAATTATTTATTCAGTGAAACCTAGCTTCGAGAATTTAATTCGTTTCTGAAAGCCGGTAACGTTCATAAACTGGAACAATTTAGCCATTAGGAACTAATGTAAAACTGATTAATTCGTTCCTGAAGCACAGATGATTGATTATTTAAAATTTACAACTGTACTTTGAGCACGCCTTCATAACCGAAAATCAACAGAAATAAGTAAATAGAAATTTTATATTAAAAAGAAGATAAACGCTATATTCAACAGATAAAATAGATGAAAATGTGATTTAATTTCACTAAAGTAAAGAGAGTGAACCTCGTAAGAGAAGAATGATGAGGAAGATGTTACTAGTTGGATACGAAATTCTCCTTCATAAAAAAATCGTGTAAATACCTTTAAGTGGCATCTTCTTTTATCTTTATTTATTATTTTATTATATTTTATTTTGTCTGTGAGTGCCATTCGACTTTGCGTGAGATTCACAGAGCCTCTATTTCACTCAAAATGTTTTCCAATGTGTTGCTATTGTCTGCGTTTTAAAATGATTCTAAAGCGAGACATGTAACAGTCGCTGTGCTGCAACTTGCTTTATCGGAGTTATATTAAATAAAAACATTGCATCTTATCCTATTTTGCACAAATTTCGGGGAACTGAACCAGGATATTTTTCTTTTCTTCCCATTCTTCTGAAGATATTTCTTGTACAATCGTTCTTTTGATGCTACTTCTGATGCTTTTGAAGTTCTTTTTTGTTGAGCTCATTTTTTATAACCTTATAGTAATTTCTTCATTTCTTCCATGTTTATTTCCTAGCCCATGGTTTTGCTTATAGATAACAAAAAATGTCCTAAGCGTCAAAGCGTTCGATGCTTTTGTATACAACTCAATTTCGCCATTTCTTCCAAGCCGAATTCATGGTCCTGTAAGTCACTTGTTGCCAGACTTCGTTAATAATAGCTAAGCAATGGTAAATATTAAAATAATGTTTTCAGAAGTCCCTCTTAGTTAGTCATGAGATACAGGTTAACTCAAAGCACTTTTGGGAGTTATTTGGCCGACTTGAGTGTTCATAACTCGAGACATCTTTTATCCTTCGAGGTGTTTTTTGTCCAGATAATTTGTTCATAAACCGAATAGTTGATGAATTGAGGCGCTTATGATTCACTGTACTTTTCATGTTAAGTCACCATTTATATAAATGGTCTTACTCAGAAGTTCTTTGTTCGTTCATTTTACCAAGCATAGTATATCACATTTTAAAGGATGGTGTGACGTTCAGACGTATGCACCCCTCGGACTTCCAGGTACTTAATGAGAACTATCTGTTTGTCAGAGACAGAATGGACAGCAGACCTTTGGAAGAAAGGTGCAGCGGAAACCCCCCCCCCCTGGTGTGGTTTCTGGACATAAGAGACTAATTAAGTTTCTTTTCCAGGTTGTAACAAAAACGAAGAGAGGGCTTTGTGTAATAGTTTTTGATGTTTTAAACGAGTGAAAGCAGATGCATATCCTAGCGTCATGGCCGCGTCAGCGGCTTTTGTTTGAATTATGGCTGTAATGATATGGTTATTTTTAATATTTATTCAAGAATTTCTTATTAAGTTTTTAAAATAAATATTTTAAAAGACAACCTGTCTTTCCTTTCACCCAACCTGGGTGTTCTGACGTTACAATGGGCTAAATGGGAGTATTAGACTTCCAAAAAAAAAAAAAAAAAAAAAAATTATATGCTTCTAATTCCAAGGTATTTCTAATTAATCTGCATCGGCTAGAATTAATAATCAGGTTTTTCATTTGGAACGTTTGTGAGTTCCCACTGAGTTCATCAGAGATTTTAGCATGCAATTTTAAATTCAATTTTCTAGTTTATTTTTAAAGAATGTGAGTAAGGCTTTTGAAAATACACTTTTTAGAGCTTTTTTAAGTGTCTGTTACCTTGGCGGAATCTGTGAATTAAGATAAACTCAACCAACAATTTAATAATATATGTGCTAGCAAAAAATATTCTTATGTGATTAAAAAATTATATTTACAGTTGTAGTGATTTTTCTGTTGCACGTTTGTTATGCGGAGACCTCTCTTATAAATAAAGGACTACAAAGGTTTTTACAAAATATATGTGGTCTACTTAAAAATTCATTTACAAAATAATTCAACCATTTTGTCATCTAAGATCAAAAGGATACCGCAGTTTTGTTTGTGGATCAGAACCTATGTTTAAAGAATTTTTTTTCCAATTAAAAAAAAAGATTAAGAAATCTACAAATTTTTTATTTTGTACATTTTTTATTTGTTATAGTTGTTTGTTTATTTTATTTGTTTGTTTTTATTTGTTATATTTTATTCTAGAGCAGGCGGTTCTCAACTGGTGGCACGCAAGAGAAAAATAGGTGGTACGCAAAGAAGCAAAGTATTTTTAACTATTAAATTCAAAAATTAAAACCCCAAAATCCTGATTGAATTTTTTCCTCTAACACTCGTAAATTTATGCGATTTGAGATTCTTTGATTCTGATTCTTTGTTAAAGAGTGGTGATAATAGTACTTTGTAGTGGTGGTAGTAGTACTTTGTATTGTATTTTATAGTGGTGGTACTAAAGGTTTTCAATTTTTGTTTAGGTACGCGTTAGTCAAATGGTTGAGAACCGCTGTTCTAGAGGAATAGGCTTTGTAGCTTCTCGGACTCCACTACAAAATTCACCTGAAGGTTATATATAAAATTAAAGAGTTCTCACTTTTATTTCGATGACATATTCTAATTGAATATTTCAAAATACTACTTTTCATAACCATATGATTATATTACGTAGCTTTCCCTTAATTTTCTTAAATTTATATTTCAGGTGGGAAAGGAGTCGCGAAATTGATGGAAATGGCAAATCAGGCTGGCTTTCTCCATTACACAATCCATGTATGTTGCTGACTTAATTTTGTGAAAAAAATAAGATATTTATATATATATTTTTCATGGTGATTTTAATTCTAATTTGTTTGTTATTTAATTGATCAATTTGTAGAGTTTACCTCTGTAATTTACTTTAAAATCATCAAACCTAGTAAGACAGTCAGGCGAGTTTTCGCTCCATCCATGTAAAAGCAATTGTGTCCTGGGAAGGTTTAAACAAAGTTTTTTATCTAAAACTTTAAACTGAACAAATGCACGACTTGTGCTTATAAATTACATAGTCGTATCTTGCGGGATATCATTTAGGAGAAAGGGAATTAAAAATGTACGTTAAACAGATGCTGGAGACTACACGACAAATAGCCTTACAAACGTCGCAAAACGATCTCTGTGCTAGTGGGTTGGACAGAAATTATTTCTCTTCACTTAAACGGGGGCATTATCCAGCTTTGCAGTATCTCCAAGTAAATACTCCCAATGACGTATAGATGTCTGTTTTACTAGGAAATGAGCATATATCGAGTGTTTGAAGAATATTTAAAATGAAAAAAAAATCTACATAAAAATATAACATTTGGATCAAACAGCAAAGTGAATTGGCTTATTGAGATATAAAGATGTTTCATAATTCGCTCCGGACTTGAAAATTTATAATGTAATAACCATAAAAAATACAGCAAAAATGCGCATGTCAATACATAAATAGATTTTTTCAAGTTTTGTGTGTATCTTTCATGTTCTTGGTATACGTATCTCTGATAATACAGTAGACTTTAGTCTCAGTCGATAAGCCGGTCGGCTTGTTCGTTTTTCATTGCACAGTCAGTCTTCCTGCATTTACTATACCGCTCAAGAACTATATTGTTTGTGAGTGCTTCTGTTTAATGTTTCGTTCTAAATATATGCTGCATTATCACAATTGACACGCATTGAGAAATTTCTGAGATAAGGTTTTCTAGTATCATTCTTGCATTATATTGCTCCTTAGCGTTACGGCTGCTACCTAGCGGCTGAATGTAAAGTTGCGTTATAGAGGTTACGAGTATAATTTGGAGAGATTCTTTACGTGTTCTTATTACGGTTATTTTATTATAAATTTTCGAAACCTCGGGAGAAATGATCAATCACCTTGTATGAGCCTGTCAAAATTTAAAAGTGTTCAAAACTGAATTTAAGAATTATATTACATGTATGCAAAGAAATATGGTGAATGTTGCTACCGAGTATTATCCAGCGGAATGACACACATAAAAAGCAGCATATGAAATCTTAAAACAAAACATATGACGAGGTTTAACTTGTTCAGGACAGTTACTAAGTTATGAACAAAGATTGTGTCTTTTAAAGTCTTCTGTAAACCATTGATCAGAAATATAACATTAACATGAAATCTTGCTTCAAACCGAGAGATCCAACATCAAACTGGTGTTAGATCATACTTGTTGACATCGATGGAAATATGCAAGCTAGAGTTCGTCCTCAAGAGCATTATAATAATCTCTGACTATTGTTAGAACTTATTACAACGTTTAAGAAATGCGTACGGAAAATTGAAAGTGGTTAAAGAGGTTACATTTCCCATAACGGCATTGCTATCTGTCACACTTGACTTTTGGTACCGTAGTTTCTGCCAAATAAATATATTATGATGAATACTCATGGATCTTATTTTCAGAGTTAGACAGCATGTGACAGTTTTTTTTCTACAAAATCAAAATGCCCATGAAAGGAAGCATTTCAAATTCATTCAGGATAACGAAGCAACTATGCAGGGCAGCTAGAGACCCACGAAAGAAGAATTTCACAACTGCTTCATAAAGTAAAAGTACAATGGGATAAATGTATTTGAAATGGAAAAGCGAGTATTTTATCCTGGAATGTGTATGCGACAATGTGTTTTCTATTGTAATAATCTTTTTATTTAAACATTCACCATTTTTTCACCGCAGCATGATTATACTTAATTAAATTGAGACAAAATACAGTTACAGATAAAAGCATAGGAAACACATGGAAGCAGAAGTAATGGAGTCACTAGGAATCGTCCCCCCCCCCAATGTTATCTGTTTAGGATGAAACGCTCAGTGACAAAAATTGAGTGCCATACTTAGGGTGCTGAATGTAAGTCCACGTCTGTCCATCCCATAGAACAACTTCTTCTTATCATAGAGTTCTAGCCAAGGGGGGCGCTAATTTTTTGTTGCCCGGAGCCGCTGCAAAAGTCCTGACCATACCACTTTTCATTCAATGGTACAAAATTCGTCTTAAATATCTTAAGACCCAGGCGTTAAGACCAGGACTCGGATATGGGCTATGTGAATCTGAAGATGACCGCTTACTTACTATTCATTACCACACCCCGATTAAATCAGTTTGATGACTTGGGACAGCTCTTTTTCCAGAAGCCTTTCATGTCGATTTTCCACAATTTCTTTTTTAATTGTGAATAAGCATTGGATAATTATTTAACCTCAGCTCCGAAGCCTTGTGGGTTTATGCGATAATCAGACTCTGAGCACTCCCGCGTTGCCTAAATTTCTGTTTAAACTCCTAAGTGGCTTTGGTAGTAAAAATCAAAACCATATTACGAAAACAGAAAATTTCCGTATTTTATTTATTATTAGAGGAAGTCAGTTTGAATTGAAAATTAAAAGAAACGTGCAACAAGTGTTGGAAATTATCGGTTCTTATAAAAATGTACTAAAAATACAACAACATACATGTATAAATGAATTAAGGGTAAAACGTAAGGTAACTTGATAGGAATTAACCATCAAAATTCAAATACCGTTTCAAAACAGATCTCAACAACCCTCAAACTGTAGTGTTCCCCCTTTCTAGCAGCAGTTCTTTTCTTTCTGTTTCATTCAATATCTTATCATAAAGTTATTAGTATTTAAGGATTTTACACAATTTATTAATTATTTTTTAATTTGAACAAATATTTTGTTTCAGTCTAATCTCTTATTCATTGTGAAATACTTTCAGAGCTATGATTTTAATCCATTCGTATCATGGGCCAAGTATGTAGAAAGTATCCAAGATAGAGACGACATAGGTAAGCGTTTTGAAAATATTATTCATTAGAATTTTAAAGTGAACTCCATTGGCTCACATTTGTTTTCGAACACTTGTGTATTTCAGTTTTATCTACAACTATCAGTTACTAAATACTATCAAAATGGCTTTATTTTTCTTTCACATATGTCTTTATTTTTGACAAATGACATTATTTTCCTTTCATCTATTTTAAAACCTGCTTGTTTTTAAAAAAGATTTTTAATACATTTTTGGTAAAAAATATAATCTATTCAAAAAGTTCTGAAAATGAACACGCATAAGTATTCGAACACTTTGATCAAACAATTTATATTTAATAAAAACGTGAAAATAACGGGGCATTCATTTTATTGGATAATCTATAACTAGAATTATGCTTTTGACTCACTATGACGTGGATTCAATTAATTTTTTCCTGTAAGAATGTTCCTTTTTGTTCCATTTTTCCGTAAGAACTGCTTTTAGTTTCACTCTGTTCCTTTGTTAATAATTTTGAAAGATGGCATTTACATTGAAGAGATTGATCGAAAACATTAGTATCCAAAAGATATGTTCTGTTTTGAAAGGTATCATAATTGGAAACATTGAGTTTGGTTTTGTAAACACAGGCACATGTATACTGGACAGACAATACATTATGGCCATCTCCTCAATAACGCGCTACACGACCTTTGGCCTGCAAAGAAGCAGCAACTCGCCTTGGTATGAACGCCACAAGTTCTTGGTAGATGACTGGAGATAGGGTGTACCAAATGTCTAAGCAGCGGTCAACACAAAGTCGAAATATTAAGACATGGTGGTGTTTGAGTACTAAGTTGCTGCTTCGTGACATCCGAAATGCGCAATATCAGGTTAAGATCCGGCCAGCTAAGTGGTCAGAACATTACTTGTAATTCATCCTTATGCTCCTCGAACCACTCCAACATAATTCGAGCATTATGACATGGGGCATTTTCCTGTTGGAAGATTCCACTTCCAGTTGGAAAGATAGACGCAGTGTAAGGGTGCATCTGATCTGTAGTTATGATCAGATAGTCCGCGGCTTTCATGGTCTGTTCTACCACAACTAAGGGTCCCAGAGCATCAACACCGGAATAACGGTCACCGCCGGATTATTCTGGTGGTGACGCCCAGAGTTGCCCATTAGAATGTCTCTCAAAGCATAATACCACCACTAACAGCCTGTGTATGACCTGCTGTAGGGGGGAGAGCAACTGTTCGCCTGGAAGACGACATATCCTGACACGTCCATCAACGTGATGAGTGAGAAATCGTGTTTCACCCAACCAGGCAACTGTCTTTCACTTATCTATGGTGCAGTCTCGATGTTACCGTGCCTTTTGTAGGCGTAGTTGACAGTGGCACTTGGTTAAAGGAAGCACACGAGTGGGACGTCTGCTGCGCTTTCCCATATCCACTGAACTGTGCTGGGCTGTTAGCCGAGCCACTGTTTGGCGCCGGATTTTGCTGCACAATCTCTGGTGTTCTTTTATTTGATGACGCGCGGAGACTAACACATTGGCGTCTATTGCTGGTTTCACCATCATTTATGCACTTTGCATAAATACTAACAACGGCAGATCTTGAATAACCTACCAGTCCTGCAGTTTTGGAGATATTCGTTCCGAGTCTTCGGGCCATTACAATCTGCTCTCTATCAAAGTCGCTTAGATCAGCAGCGTTTCCCATCACTCGCAAAAGTTAAAGTGCAAGCATGATTTCTTACCTTTTCCAGCAGTAGTTAAATGCCATTCCCACTTAATCACGTGCCCTCCACGGCATCCAGAAGAGTTCACTTAAAAATAAGGGGTGGTCTTAATGTTTTGGCTCGTTAGTATATACCAACCATAGTATTCTTCAACATAATAAATAATAAGTGAGCATTTTTAGAGAGAAAATATGTTAGACGAAATGCACACTTTACTTTCCCTTACACAATATTTAACTTTCGCATAGCACCGTGTCAAAATAAATATTGATATGAGCTCTGCTTACAAAATTTGGTCTAATGAAAAACGTTCTGAAGATACGGGTAACTATGAAGAAGGTTTTTTTTTATACTCAGAAATCACTTTCCAAAATTTGCTGATGCGCGAAATCGAAAGTGGAAATATTCATTAGCCCCCAAATTTAGAAAGACTCATAAGATAAAAAACTTCTGTCAGAAATTAAACGATGAAAAACTAGTGGCCTAGAAGAAATATAAAAAGTACTGCATGGAACTAATGAAGTAATATACCAGAAAGTTCCTGACAACTGGTTCAAGAATTCCGACTGTCATCGTAATCTAAGATGCAAAATGCTTCTAAAAATTCACTTCTACTAATTTGCCACTTAGACATTTTCTAAAGAATTTAGGAACTGTGATCGGTAGGCAATGTGAAAGATGTCATGAAGACGTTCAGAAAATAGAACAAAAGAATTAAAATAGATGTAATCTAACATGATGGGTGACTACTGCTGATTTCTAGTCGCAGAATGTGACATTGATTACAAAACTAAGTAATAACAGCAGGAGTTAAGAATATTTCTTATATTCAGTTTCAGTTTAGCATCAATGCGTACCATCTACTCTATTAATTCTGATAATTTTTTATGTTTAAGTTCAGTATTTCCATTTGTTATTTAGCATAATAAATGAAGATTAAATGCCAGATGTATTAAACTAATACGTGACTTTTAAATATAATACTGGGATTAGATGTATGTATTGTGTGTTGTGAATACGGCAAAGCACACTAGGGCTATCTGCCTAAGGGGAGGGATGCCTTCGTGGAGGACTTTCTAAGGGAAACTGGCTCGTATACACGTTACGCATGGGGAAAACCACGAAAAGGCCCATGCAGCCAGCCCGTTCGCGGGATTCGAACCTCGGACCGAACTACCAGTATTCAACGATTTTACCGCTCGGCCGCTGGTGGGCCACTACTGGGATTAGAAGGAGATGTTTTAAAAAAAGTAACATTAGTTTATGGTATTCTGTGTTACCTTCTTTGTCAAATGAAAGTATTATTGGATCAGATTTTCAGTTATGTAAGTACATTAGTGCAAAAACTAGAATGATATGTTAACTCAATATTTTATATCTTTTGCTTGAATATACCTCGACAGAATACAAACAAAATGCTATAAATTATGGTTATTCTCGCTTTCAAGAAATTGATTTAACTAAAATTACCCGTTTTTATTCAAGTGGCGGAAAAAATGTTTGACCGATGTAAGTGCATTCGCACAATGATAAAAATATTAGGGATACGAATTTTTATTTCTGTTTTTTTAAGTCTAGAATACAAAAGTAAAAAATCTGATGTGTACACCGCATGACTTCCTTGTACGGAATATTAAATTAAACGCATTTTTTTTCTTGCATTTCATTTAAACTTATTGGATTGAATTAAATCTACTTCGCCGACAGCGCATAAACCACAATAGAATAAATGCATTCTTTAAAATTCACTCTAGTATTTATTTACCATAGCGACACTCTGGCGCTAGATTCACTTAACAGTATTATATTTCGTTCATATTATAACTCATAATGCACAAAATTTATATCATTTAAAGAATAGAATTATCTAATCGTTGCCACATGTTCTATTCAAATACTATAATAAAGCTAAAGAAATTAAGCAAACAAAACAAAAAAGAAACAGTTTTTCACAGACGATTGAGTATTTCTCATTTAATTAATTCAGTTCTCACTCACTTCGCGAGAAGGCAAAAATACATAAAAACTCAAAATATCTATATTAAAAATTATACGAAGTAAATCTTAAACACACTTATTTCCTCGAAAAATTCCAGAAAGAATTAAGCATGATTTAATTGGCAATAATAAATGAATGGCGTTATCTTTGTTGTTGCGAAGCTAAGTTTCTCTAGATTGGCAACAAATCAACTAGTCTCCTGTTTCAAATGTAAACATCAATGGCCGCCATAAAAAAGGCTTAGCGGCACTTAAACAACTTTAAAATTGTTGATAATTCTAAAAATATTGCATACAGATTTACTAAAGGCATAAAAACCTTAACCGGAAGATAAAAACAACATAATTCAATCATTTTTAAAGCAAAAAATGTACAATTTACAAACATATAAGAGTAAAGAAACTGAGATCACTGAGCCGGGTAACAGAGTGGATATATATATAAATATATTTATATACGTTTGGTGCGGCCGATTGCAACCAAAATACGAGGTGCACATCTACATGTTATAGCAGTCCTATATACAAAATTTCAACGTTCTGAGGCTACTCGTTTTTGAGTTATGCGAGATACGTACGTACATACGTACGCACGCACGTACGTACATACGTTCGTACAGCCGCCGCGAAAAATTCTCTTCAGAATTAATTTTAAAGCAGTTTTATAATTTTTTTGAAGAAAAAGAGTATTTTATTCTGTCCTTACGTACAGATAGCACGCAAAAACATCGTTAAATTGCATTCGATAGCTATCAAAATGGATATTTTCGTTGAAATATGCTGCCTGAAACTTTTCGCGATTACAATACTTCCTTTTTACTTCGTACAAGGAAGTAAAAACATTAATCGGTTATACTTACCATTTAAATAAATTAAATATTTAAATCAAGCATGCATAAAATTACTAATGAAAAATACGAAAAAGTATCATTAGAAGAATTAGCTGAAATATTCTACTAATTCTTCTAATGTTAATTGCCCAGGCTGTACGTAGACTGAAGGAATTTCGTTTAGAGGAATGGAGTAGTTTTTCGGTTTTTTTTTTTTTTTTTTTTTTTTTCAAAATCCTTAGGTATACAGTGATTTTTCTCTTATTTTGGTTCAAGATGAATTGTGCAAAATTTTATGAAGCTCAAATAAAACTAGAACATTGTATAACTAACACAATCCCATGTAACGGTTTTAGTAAGAACTGGTACTCACTTTGTTATCGGTATATCTTTTTTCAGAAATGAGCTTTCGGGGGGGGGAGGAACTATCATTTTAGATGACTTCTTAACCGTTTTCAAAATATTCGCAAAAAACTAATAGACAATGCATTTAAATTTCGCTTTAAAAGTTTTATATTGTTCTGGAAAGCTCCACACTATTCTAAAGAGTAAACGAACCCTGCGCTATTTAACGATTTTGTAAGAACTGATAGTGGCAATGGAAAAACGCGACAACGGTGTAGAAATAGTAATATCTTTTTGTAAAACATAATTATAAATTCCTTGCTTAGCCACTGATGACGGGAGTGAAAAATTAGCGACGCGAGCCTAAGTTAGGTGACTTGAGCTCAATGTTTTAATATAAACGCCCTGAATATGGACCTCATGAGATGGTTTTCGAAATCTCATGGCAGTGATCTTCCCTTTGATTTGAAGGTCAAGTGTGCGAAATTTCATCAAGATTGAAATAGAACTGTAGATTTGTATGAATTTATAGTTAAATAATGAAAGTGCTTAAATGAAAAGGAAAAAATACGAACGCAAACAAACAAACGGACACTCTTCTCCTTTTAATTTGATGTTTAAGTGTGTAGAATTTCATCAAGATTGAAAGAGAACTACTGTCTTAAATAAAGTGCTTAAATGAGAAGAAAAAGATACAAACGCAAACAAACAAACGGAACTCTTCTTTCTATATAGGTGATTTTAATAAATCCAGCTAATATCATTTCACAAGTCTAGGCTAGTAATAAATAATAATTAAAAGAACATGTATTTATTGATTTTAAATCTCTTAGTATGTTCATTAATAATAGATTAATTTTGAAAGAAAAAATTAAACATCTTAAGCTTTGCTGAGCGATAAAACACTACCGCAATGAAGATAAAAGCATTTTAATTCGGCAGTGGCAATATATTTCTTTTAAATACCTGAGGTTTTTTTTATTAAATTCGAAATAAAAACGTATTATAAGTGGCAACATACTTCTTTTGCATCGCCGAGGTTTCTACACTCATGTCCATAAATTAAGGATAATTTGGAGTCACGCGGAAATCGAACTCTAAAATAAATATATCACCTGTAAAATCACTACACACATCTTCAAGAATCATATGCAAATTTCAGGAAGAAACAGATGACACCGATGGTACGTCACAATGACGAGAGTGTAAGATACTGATATATAAGGAATACAGGAAAAGAAGTAAAATTGTTCGCAGGCGCTTTATAAGCATTTCAGTGCAATAACCGAATAGTTATGACACAAAGGACGCATTTGGATGATTTTTTACGTGGTAGAATTATAGGCCGTCTGGAATGGGGGCGTACCCAACTGGGAGTATCAGACGAACTTGAAATTGCCCAGAGTGTCATCTCCAGGCTTTAGCAACGATTCCAAGATGATGGTAATGTGAGTAGACGTTACAGCACAGGTCGCCAAAGAGTTACAAAGCCGAATGAGGACCGGTATTTGGCAGTTACTGCCAAAAGAAACAGGCGGAGCACAGCCTCAGACCTGTTTCGTCAGCTCTCTTCAGCCACTGGTACGACAATTTCAAGGCAGACCGTGTACAGATGCTTAGGGCAGATTGGTCTATATGCTCGTAGACCTGTCAGATGCATTCCACTTACTGCAACTCACTGTCGCCTGCGGTTAGCCTGGAGTAGAGAGCACGCATTGTGGACACCGCAACAGTGGGCTTGTGTGATGTTTTCCGACGAGTTCAGGTTTAGCTTGCAGTCTGATTCTCGCCGGACTTTCATATGGAGAGCTCCAGGTACCCGTTACCACCAAGAATGCATCATTGAACGACACCGTTACGGTGGTGCAGAAGTGCTCGTTTGGGTTGGAATTATTCTGGGTTCCAGAACTGACCTGCATGTTCAGATTGGAACCATGACAAGCCAAATCTATCGGGACGTCATTCTGGAACAACATGTACGTTTGTTTCGGGGCACCATGGGCGCACAATTTGCGTTTATGGATGACAACGCCCGTCCTCACCGTGCAAACATCGTAAGCGAATGTCTTTAATCGGAGGATATCACTCTTATGGACTAGCCAGCATTCTCACCGGACTTGAATCCAGTAGAGCACGTGTGGGATATGCTTGGCCGACGAGTTGCAGCCCGTCAACCTCCTTCTACATGTCTACCGGAACTTCGAAGAGCATTGCTTTTTGAGTGGTGTAATATCCCTCAAGATCAGATCGATAATTTGATACTCAGCATGCCTAGGCGTTGTATATGGATTGTATTGCATCGTCTGGGAGACATACAATGTATTAACAATCATACCAACCATGTAATATTGGTTTTTTGTAAATAGGGTTTTTTTTTTTTTTTTTTTTTTTTTGTAATTTGCTTCAGGGAGAAAAAATCGCTAATTTTTTTAATAATATCAAACACATAGCATCTTTTTTTGCTCTTTACCTTTTGTTTAATAAATAAGCTTTACAAATAAGTCAAATTTGTTTTGCTTCTAACTCTTCCTTTGCCTGATTTTGCATTATCCTTAATTTAAGGACATGAGTGTAATTAAATCTGAAACATCCTACGCTTTGCGGAGAGGTAACACAAAGTTCTATCGATGCCTAATGATACACGTCCTTACGGCGTAATATTATTGATAACGCAATATATTATAATTATACGATAGATTAAAAATAGGAAAATGAATTTTTTCAAATTTTAATTTTGTTATTTTTATAGTGAAAAAAATGTGTAAAATTTATGTTTGAAAATAAAGAACTAACCTACTTCGCTTTCTACAACTTTGTGTATAGGTATCTTAAAAGGCATAAGCCGTAAAGAAATTGATGAAATATTTGGAAGTAGCAAAGATGAGAAATCTTTAAAAATCATACATTATTTTGTCATTGTAAGTGAATATTTTTGAATTATTATGAAAAAATGTGATATTTTATTTTGAAATATTTAAAGTGAAAAGTATAATGCTTTTCATCTATAATATATACATTTGGTTACGTGCCATCTTGACATTATATTTAATTGTTATTCTTAAAAAACTTTTGAACCATATCTTTAAGAATTTTCTTTAAACAAAAAATATTTCTCCTTTTAAAGGAAATGAATGTGGTTAACATTGTTAATTTTTTCCTCTTGGTTAACCCTATGTATCTTTTTGTATGTTGCATATTTTATTATTTCTATAAAATAGTTTAGATTGTTAAATTGGTTATCGGATTCATATTGTATAGATATATGTAAGAAAGATAAAAATGTACAATCTAAATTAGCAATGGCCCCTTAATGTTTAATTTAATTTGAGTATTTCCCCTCTCTATTTTAAAAATAGTAGTATCTTTTTCTGCACTGCGTCATTTAGAGACTAATCCATGTCATATAACTCTTACTGTAATGGAATTACATGTTTGGCTGGTGATGTAAATGGAACTAAAACAGCCAATAGTAATTTTACAGCATTATTAATTTATGCAATCAAGTGCATTGAAAACCGAAACTAACTTATTTTGAATTAAGATTTAGTCCTGAGCGCAAGTCACTTGCTTTCTATGCCTCAGGCTAGATGGACCGCTGCTTGCTGCTTCTTATTTTACCCCCAAAAAAGAAATATTTTAAAATAGGCACGAATTAGAGTGACCAGTTATTAAAAACGTTTCTTTAAGATTATCTATAATATCATTATTATATTTTTCTTCATAATTTAATTTAATAATAGTATCTTTGTTTAATTACTTCATTTTTAGTTACTTCTAAATACATTCTTTAAAGAGTACTTTTAAATATGTGTTTGTGAAGACACAGAGAAAGTATGCAAAAGAACGTTGATATCAAAGCATAATATTAGTATTTCCCATTAATCTTTTAAGATTTTTACGTAATATAGTATTGAAACAATTTTTATGTTCAATGAGGAAAAATGCTCTAATAAAATATTTCAGATTTACGGATTGAAACATTATTTAAATCTTTATTTTGATTCCTAGCTGTTTAAATCTTTATAATTAAATATTTTATGATAAAAATAGTATCAGAAAAATATGTTTTATTTCATTAAATTAACAATTAATTATTAATTCAAATATTTAAATATTATATCTAAACAATTTCTCTTAAAATAAGCCTCCCTCAGACATTTTACTGCTAAAACTTACTTGTTTAAAAGATATACTTGAAGATTCTTGTTTGATGCCCAGAATTAATGAATTGTGAATTGCAGGTATATTTTCTTTTTTGCATACTTAGCTGTTTATGTTTGAAAATGCTTGCTTCAATGTGAGCCCGAAACGGTCAACAATTCGAGCATCTTGGCGTAGTAGGCCGGCTGCACACTATAATCTGTTACTTTAAAATAGGCATATCAATATCTAAAGACCCTCCTCTCTTTTACGATACTAACGTGAGACGTCATTACCGCACAGACGGAATTCCAGCAAATCAGAGGAATCGACCATTTTTTTGCAAAAGTTGTTGCGATGGTTATGAGTCATGGTTTGGGAAGAAGAAATGGCTTTGATGGAAATGGCTACTGTAAAGTAACAGATTGTGGTGGGCTCAGGTTCGAATTCCGAACAAGATGTGGATGTGATTCCATGAAACTCTAAAAAAAACTTCCTAATAAATAAACTATGCAACTGATACTACATTTTATTACGCACAAGTAGATGCGTATCCGGTGAAACACTTCGTTGTACATGCGTACCAACACAGCGGTCGACAGGGTTACTCCATCAGACATACAGTTGAGAAGATCCTGGACTATTGGGTATGAAGAGATGAAAGTACAAAACGCTTGAAGGAATGTTTATACTGTGGTTGAATAGTCATAAGTGGCATAAGCTGTTATACTGTTGCTAGGCAATTAGTAATACAAATTAATATTATTATGGAAACTGCTTTGAGGATTTCTTCTAAATATTCTAATTTTTCAAATTTACGTTTAGATGGCATGAGAACATATCATTCATAGTGAAGCAACAAACTGAAGGCACATTAACGCATGCACACATTTTTCCTGAGTAGCTACGGTTTAGATCCTTTTTGAAAGTTGTGAACAAAGCTAATGATTTTCACCGAAGCAGGTCGTTTCGACGCTGACGGTTCGACGCCAAAGGTTCGACACCAACGTTTCGACGGCGGGGCAGTTCGACGCCGTGCGTTTCGACGCAAGGGCAGTTCGACGCCATATTTTTTTTTTTTCGTATTTGTATTTATTTTAAATGTGAAGTAATATAAATAAGTAATATGCCTGATTTTTATTTATTGAATTAGCGATTGTTTGCATGCATATTTGAAATAAATATATGTGTGTATATATGTGAAAGTGTTCTAGATTTTTGTTTGTGTCCCAGATTAGTGAGAAGCCCCCTCGCCAACGTCAAGGCCCCGGGACATGAGGGAGGGTTTTTTTTTAATTTATTTCACAAAACAGCATTAAAAAGGCAAAATACACAAATGGTAAATAAACATATGATTACAAAGTAGTTATATTATATTGCAGTCAAATATAATTACAGATAAACATATATATTATTATTATAATTACACATAATAAGACAAATATAATTACACATAAATAAGATTAGAGATAAATAAGATTACATCACAGAACTGTTATTATACTAATCAATTGCAAAGTTATGCGCCACACCTTTCAGGTATTCCATTATTTCTCGATTTTCAAAATCTTCATCTATTACTTTAATTCTCATATCAGCTCGCAGATACCTATTCCGCTTGTGCGGCGGTTAATCTTCACGTACAAATTGTTCATAGCATTGATCAATTGATTTTTGAACACGCCTGACACCATCCATGAATTCCCATAATGTCGGGTGGAAACACCAAATGATGATGACACCAAATTTATTTGAATGATGATGCAAACTTATTCTAAAAATAAATAAAAATACGAAAAGTATGGCGTCAAACAAAAGCAAAAAAAAGTATGGTGTCGAACTGACCCCGCGTCGAAACGACCTCGTGTCGAATTGACCACGCGTCGAAACGCTGGCGTCGAACCGTTGCGTCGAAACGTTGGCGTCGTACTGACCTGTACCGATTTTCACATCATATGGTTGTGACATTTCCAATAAAGCCACGGTGTAAACGCTCACTTATATACACCTTTCCCTAAATGAACAGAATTACTAAATTTTCTCAAAGTTTGTATTTTCCATAGCCTACCTCTTTTGAACAGTACGTTGATTATTATTACAGGGAAACGTATTGACCTACAAGTGTATATACCTTTTTATAAAGACGAGAGCAAGTAGTTTTAGCCCAGGATGGGAAATTGGTTAAGTAATTTTGCTGATTTATGAGGAGTATAGAATGTTTATAATTACTTTGTGAATTTTACTATGAAACCGTGACGCTTCTAACATTTTTACAACAGAATTTGAACAGCTTTTCAAAGGCGAATCAAGCCTTTAGCGAAAGCGAATGTTTATGAATGAGAAGGTGAAGAGGTTGCATTAGTTTCAGTAATACAAAGAATTTTAATTCTTATAGTTTCTAGTGCAATTGCGTCTGTTCCCGTTCATGGGAATTAGTGAGTGAGCTATCTCGAACAGTTAAAAGGTCTCTTCATAAAAGATCACAGTTTAAATTCCCTACTGTTACTTCTTTTTGCTAATAAAACGTTACTTGCTTTACTTAAGACTTAATAATTGTCAGAGACATATAAGCAGATTTCTGAAATCAAGCATACAATTCAGAAATGCATTTTGTTAATTGTTTGTGTGAGTGGTTTGTATCAATGGAAACTGCAGTATTCCTGCTGAGAATGTCCACTATATTTCTTTAGAGTTTATTCTGTTGATAATTTCAAAGAACAGTTGGTGAAAAATCACACTTCATTGTTTAGTTTTTTTTCCTATGTTTCTCTCTTGACCTAGTTGGTTTTATTCCTTTTTAACTGATTTTACTGTTTGCTACAGACATTTTGCGAAACTCTAGTATTTTCAACATCCTTTTGAGTTTGATCTGTTTTCTGTCAAGTTATTACAGATTTTGCAAAATCATGTTGACGAGGTTGATCATTCGCAGGAAAACGGAGTTTCTTTTTTAATGCAATAGTGCAAAACTGATAAGTTTACTCACACTTTGAAACCTTTCAAAGTGTACTTTATGCGCCTACTGTTAAATGTATCCAAAATTACTAATTTTATTACCCAGTTTTTGATTCATAAATCACTACTCCTAATTTCGCTGACAAATGTATTCCTAGATATGAGTGTACAATTAATGTATTGTATTTCTTTTACAGTCTTTTGAAGTCCATGCTTCAGATATGTTTACAGTAAATGGTTCTGAATGGATTCTCCGCAGTAATAAAAAAAGTAAGTTTTTCTTTAAAGTATAAGCTTTAAAAAATGAGAAAGGCAAAGCATAAAAGGATATGCAGAAAGTTCAAGTCAAAAGGCACATTACTAGGTCTCATGAGTATCCATAGAACTCCTATAGCAATTCCTATAAGAGTTTTGTATAGAATGAACTATAGTACACTCTATAAGTCATGCATATAAAGAAAAGATATCTGCTATTAAAGTACGAGGCAATGTTTTGAGGCAACGCTTATCATTTGTTAAACGAAATGACTCTGAAACATATGAGCGCAAACATAGAATGGCTTCTTGTGATGAAATTTCTTGTGAATGAAGATGTAAAACAGAACGAAGTTTATACCAGATTTGAAGCACAGTACAATGAAGTTTCCTGGTCAAGTTGTATCAGTGATGCGATCGCTCTTCAAGAAAATTTGATAGTTTCTAAGAAATATAAAGTGAAGGAAGCAATACTGCGAGCAATAGTTTTGGTTTCCAAAAATTGCAATTTGAGGTTTTTTATTTCAATTATGAGAAGTTACTGAAGACATTTTATTTTTTTTTACTGCTTATGGGCTTATCCTGAAACTTAAAGGTCTGCAGATTTGTTCTATATTCACAAAACTACATTCACAAAGAATTTTATAAATGTTCCGTGAATGAAGATCGAGTATTCGTTCTTTTACAACTGGGAACTTGATTTTATTGAGACGTAGGAAACGAAATGCACGTAGTTTGAAAAATTAAAAATGAAGGTTATTAAAACTTGTGATGCTTCAAATAGGAGATGCCAAGAACAAAAAAAAAAAAATGGATAACAATTGGAAAAGATAATCATTTTCAGAATATTAAATTCATTTGTTCAAATAATAGGAGGTGATTTTAAGAGAATTGCAAAAGGAATAAAAGTGTAAAAGGTTGCAGTTTCTGTAGATCATTTACTTCTATTTGTCTTCCATTCATCCCTAAACTCAGACCTATATTTTCTAAATGTTTCAAACAATAAGATTTTGAGGTTTCTTTGAACCCCGTGAATAAAATCAGGTTTTCAATTGTAAAAGAACAAATAGCAGATTTTTCATTCGTGGTGCTTTTAAAAAATTTGTGACTGTGCTTTTGTGTATACAAGAAAATCGCAGATCTTTAAAATTCAGAATAAGCAAACTCATATGGTATATTAAGCCGAAGGAAGTGAAAAGCCTTCAATAGCTCCGCAATCACTTCACCAGTTCCAGTTTTTGGAGTCCAAAATTACTGCTTATACTATTTCACCGCTTCATTTATAATCCTTAGAAGCTTCTGAAGTGTCCTGCAGAAACAGTTTTCACTCCATTCCTTTCGGAAGCACGGGAAAGCCTGTATCGAACTACACCACTCTTCTTTCAACGAAACACTACAACCTATACGTCATGCACTACACGTCTGCCGCACGGCAGCAAACAAGGTTTCATAATGTTGGACTAAGCTCCACAAAACTACAGTAGGTAAAATTTATGCTTATTTTGACTAATTATTGCATTAAATATTTTCATTATTTTACCAGAAAATATGCAGTTATAGGCAATATAACTAACATGATTCGTAAAAATATGCATGTTCGAATAAATCATTTAATAATTGCATAGAGTTTGGTTGATACTCAAGTTATTCTAAATTCTGATTATGTGGAAATTTGTTAAAAATATCCATAATTCAAGAAAATAATATCTGTAAAACTGAAAAGAAATAGGAATCATCCCTTGAATCTTACAAGTTTAATTTTCTTCATAGAAATTGATCTTCAAAATAATGTGGATGAAATTGTTACTGCGCAAAACCCTACTCTAGAGATGAAAGGAGCAGAAAAATTTACTATCCAGGTAAGTTAACAATTGAAGCTATAAATAAATACTTTATATATGCGCTCTAACATAAATTTCTAAAAAGCATCTGCATTTTCTTTTAAAATCTGTTTCAAGTATAAATTTCGGCTTACCTAAATGCTGAATAATTATATCTTTCTGCTATATCAAATTATTTCGCTCTATCTACAAAAGGGTTCTAGGGAGTTCTAGGGAGGTACTCATATGGCGTGTTTGTTAAAACATTAAAGATTATGCTAGGAAACAAGTTGAAAAAGCTGGCAACTAAAGTGGTTGCGACGTGAAAAGTATCCGTTTTTGTTTTATGAGTTCGCTAACTAAAATGATCATGTGTCTGGAAGCGTTATTGTGATACATAATCCATCCGGTCCTCCACCTCTCTGACCATCGGGTCATTTTCTTCTTATTATATTGCTCCAGTGATCAAGCACTAGCACACGTGGTAAGCAATTATGATAATTAACCTTGATATCACAAATTCATGGTAGAAGGTGTTCAAGTTGTTGAACAAAACAACAAGTATAATCTTGCCTCTCTAGTTGCTGACTCATATTATTTGGTCTCAGAAATGTTGGTGCGTACCATTCAGAAGACTGCGCTGAAGCACTTTTTACTCAGAATGAGATTTTGTGCTGAATGATGCTTTAATTGCGTTTGTAATACATACGATTTCATTTCATACATTTCTTCTGCAGGGTGTATAGTTGCTCAGGTGGGGTAGTGGTTAGTGACCCTGTCTGCCATGCCGAAAGGATTGGTTTCGAATTCAAGAGGAAGCATGGAGATTTGTAAATGCCTGTACGTAAGGAGGAAATAAAGAATCACGGTGAGAAATCTCTGGAGTGGCCGATGGTAGAGGAAGAATCTGCGGAGCGATCCTCGGGATATTCTTCCTCGGAGCGGAAGCTTAGCAACTGGCAAGGCCCGGCAATACTAAATATATCTAGATTGGATGCAGAGATGTCGACCTTGTTTCAACCTTATTATATGTTGCCCTCTAGCAATTTAGGTCAAAAATTGTATGTTCAAGTGCGTGGCATGATTTTCCGGGAATCTTTTGAACAGCTTTATTCTGGAACAGATTTTTTATTCAATTTACATCAAATTACAAGTTGCAGCAATAGATTTTATATACATATTTGAAATTAATTTACTGGAGTAAAACAGAAAATAATTATTGGAGATTACTGTAAAAGACAAGTTATTTTTATTCCTCCATATATGGAAATACTTTCAATTTTGATGTCACTAATCCAGAATGAATCGTGTAAATAAGCTTACATTAGTACTACAGTTAGTACTTAGTTAGTACTTTGGGGTACTTTAGTATTACAGTTAGTACTTTTGGGAAAATAAATAAAATTTCCGTCGTACACAATATTTTAAAAATGCCAGAAATCTTTCAAAGAATAATCACGAAATATCATAACTTCTTAGCATATGTATATATTAATACTGATCCACAAAAATTATTCCATTTGAAAGAGTGAAACTTGTAGAAAAAATTACAAGTAATGCATTTTTTTGGCATAAGTCTTGATAATCATTGAATTATGTCAAATGTAACTTAAAGTTTCTTCTCAAGTAATGAGCCCTGTCCTCTCAAAAAAACGTTGAGCGGCGGGGAATGTAAAGAATCCTGAAATGTTTATTATCTGCGAGGCGACATTACTATACTATAGGGACCATTAGATATTTCGGACCTGATTAGTAAAATCCTCATCGAAATTCGAGCAACAGTCTTCCAATAGTTACCTGTATATGCTAATGCAATAATTACTTGCCAACCGAGCTGTTCATAAAGTTAACTTGTAGAAGCTGTAAGGTATTTTGGAAAGGAACTGGATCCTCACTGAGATTCAAAACGAGATTTTTCAAAAATCAGTAGTGCCTTCGCCGGGATTCGAATCATGGATCTGCCAAATACTATCAGAATGGACTGATTACCGCTACCACAAAGCACGCACGGCGGGAAAAGAAGATACTTTTGTTTTAATATTATCTGCCGTTTAAGAATGACTGCGGGAAAGCACGAAACTCAGTCGACCGTCCCCTGTTATCTTCCTCTACATTTTAGCAAGGGACTATAGGTTCAGTCACTGTAAAAACTATTGCGATTTTTCAAAGCATGAAATGTGAAAAATCAACTGTGTTCTTCTCAAAATTCGAGCCGCGGATGTTCCATCTGCGCTAACATTTTACATCCCGATAACACACACAGGTAAATGAAATGATTCCTTGTAATCTCTGATCAAAATAAAAAAAAGGGGGGAATACTCTACAGTATTTTCAAAAAGTAAATTGAAAATCTTTGTAATTTTATAAAATATTTTCATTAAATTATAATCAAATCATTCATTCAGTCTCTTTTGTTTCTGGACTATGCATTTCTTAATTATACATGTAGACTAATGCAGCAGCTAGCATAAATAATAATTAGTTCATTATCGCTTACATTTCAACTGTAGAAGACTATTTGTTCAAATTATTTGTTGTTCAAAACACTATAATCTTTTGTTCATTTGTCTGATGTTCGAAATACTATCATCTTAAATGTTCGGACCAGCAAATTACATGTATCTGTGTGCATTTTTCCTGTGATATCACGTATTATAAAGTACAAATTTTCCGTATTATTTTCAGTTCGACTTGGGTCCCCAACAAGATACGGAGAAACTACGCAGTACTGCATACTACTTTCAAAACCCAGGTATACAAAGACTATCATTTTAATCTCTTCTCTCTTTGTGTTTCTTATTCACCAGAGAAACTTAAAACTGCAATACGAGTGAAGTTTCGTAATTTATATATATCAGTACTGTTAGGAACTACGGAGATACTGCATTCTTATTAGAATCTGCAATTATTTATTTTATGGGATTTTTACTTATTCTGGAACTAATAACCCTATCAAGCGTGAAGAAAATCATCTCTCTGTCTGAAGTAACTAGGAGCAAGGAAAAGGTTTAAATAATCTTTTTATTTAAACAGACTTGAGAAGACATACGCACATTCTTATGGTAGCAACATCAGCCACAGTTAGTGGAATGCAACTAAACAGAACAGTCAAATTTAAGTTGAATGTGTAAACAGCAATCAGAGACCACACAATTAAACTATAATTATAAGTTGGCTCAGTAATTCTAACTGGAACATCAAAATCAAGGTTTCGGGAACGATATAACGCAAATCCGATTTATTACAACTAACAGAGCTGGCAGGAATCGAGCAGCCAGAAACATGCTCTGTTTTAAAATCCCGAAACCTCAGTTTAAATACTAGCTACCTTATTTACATTCTGGTGAAGAATACAGAAAGGAGAAGTGCTGCTTCAAATCATACTAACTGAAAAATAAAATTAGTAACACAGCAACATTTGCTCTTTGATCTGGGATATTGTCAGTAGCCTACAGCGGGCTCCGCTTTTACTACTTATCTTGAAATTTAAGCGTTGGTTACTAGAGTTCAAAGGCGTATACACGCCATGCCATAACGGCGAAGCTAGTCAAGTTAATTTGGAAAATATTAAAGATTGGAAAAGCCGTTCGAGCTGTGAAGATATAGACAAGCAATGAAGAAGTAGATTGGCTGGAGTCTGTCGCGTGAGTGGTCACCAACTCAAGTCCAGACCCCGATTTTGGCGTAGATTTATGTCAAGATCTCAGTCGATTACGAGAGCAAACAGGTATAGGTCCCTCTTTGTCAGGAGCAAAAAAATCTGCAAGATTGGAAAGCAGTTGGCGTAACGGTCGTATTTATGCTCCACATCAGGGATAGTCAACCTGACCCTTACCACCCACTAGTGGACGATTTGAGCTTTCACGTTGGATGATGGAGGTTTCTGTCCGATAATGATCAAGGATGATCGAGACATGCATGGATGTACACCCCTTAAAGTTTAGTTCTCTTCTTGACCATTCCCCTCAGCACAATGCTCTCTTGTTTGCATATATTTATACGGCTTTGTTGTTTGTAAATGAATTTTCTGTCTAGTAAAAGTTTAATATTGTAAGTTATAGTATAAATAAATCCATAAATTTAACTATATATTTTTTACTAAACCTCCACTTAAAAACTGCATTTGCGCTATATTAAGTTATTGTGAACGTGTAGGCGGTATAGAAATTTTACTGCCTACAAAGTGTGCGGTAGGTATATCCCTGTTCCACAGAAAAGTACTCTCCTCTTCTGCTTTCATAATAACTAGTTAGTTTTAAACCTTAACTGATTAGTTTATAACCTTACAATTTAACGTCACCTTCTCAACTCAGTATTTGAGTATTTTTGAGCAGAGTTCGAAAACTGTGAAGTGCTTCTTTTGATAAAGTAAATTTTATCAAGCTATCATCTGTGTGCATTCAATCTATTACGAGCCCGTACGCGAGCAACAATAATACAATAAAAATCTCCTTTTGAGCTTTTGGCAAGGAAACATGGTGAATTAAAAAAGGGGGAGCCAGAAAGGCCTCAATGATAGCACCGATGGGATAAAACAAGTTGGACTACACCTACAGGAAATGAAAGAACTCTCGCATTAATTATTTGCATAAATCCGTTAAGAGTCTAGATATACAGAACTGTATTTTTATAATGCTGTGTAGTAAATAACATAAACATAATCATGCATTAAACTGTATACGTTTTAAAGATACTTCTGATATACACCGTGTCTACGAAAGTCCTTACCTGGTTTTTATTTCAGCAACCATTGCTCGCAGACAGATACTTCCAGACACAAAAATGTTTTCACTAACGCATTGATTCATGTTTTTGTATTTTTTAATTAAAAAATTGTATAAAATATGTAACCTGATGATTTTAACTATTGCCTACAATTTTGTTAAGGATATATTTAGTATGCCGTAGGAATTTTTACACGAGTAATTTATGAGTTTTCATAGTCTTAACAAGAAATTTTATTAATTTAAAAACAGCGCTTCTTAAACTTTTTTCATTCATGACTGTATCGTCAAGTTTCCTTCGCGACTCTAAATCCGCTTTGCCAGAAATTTTGAACTAAAGTAGCAGTAAAAAATGGAAATTAGCAGAAGAAATCAGTCTTTGGCAACTATTAAGGCCAGAAGCGGTGATTAGGGAGACACCTAGTAGGAAGCGTTTTATTACGGAGGCACCTAGTAGGTGACCACCGTTTACTTCCTATGAAGGGACAAGACAATTTAAATCCATGCCTTTTCTGAGATTTGAACCCGGGCCTTCTGTAGAGCAGTCAGAGCCACTAACCGCTTATCCGTCTGGGCGGCAGTCTCATTAATGTAATTTTAAATTCACATATCTGAATTTAAGACCCCATCATTTCGCTGTGTGACCCCATTAGGAGTCGCGACCCACAGTTTAAGAAAAGCTGCTTTAGAATCGTAATAATTGTAACAATATTTTAAAAATTCATTAAACGACAACTATTTATCAATTTTTAATTAAAGTAAATAATATAACGAGTTGGCTGAGTGACAATCCTAAAGCCTACCAGTGTTCAGTAGAACACGAAATCTATAAAATGCAAAAAAGATCTTCATTTTGAATATATATAATATGAACTAATAAACCCAAGGAAAAGACGGAATACTGTTGATGCGTGATAGCTATATAGGGTAGATCCATACTGAAAAGGAAGAATTCTGATTGCGTAGTGTACTAATAATGTTGAGTTCGTAATATCTAAGAAACTTGGCAGACGAGGCAGTTTCATTCGCATTAGCAGCTGACTTTAGTGGACACAATCACTTGGCGCTCTAGTCGTGCCTATTCACAGAACATTTACACTTTTGATATTATTGCGCTAGCAAGCAAGACAGCGAGATTATATCCTAACGGTAGAGGGCGAACCTGAAGTGCGTAGTTATGCAAGATGGAAGCACAGGAAGATGAAGGTTTTGGTTTGAGTTAAAAAGCTTCAGTTCCCAATTATTACGTCATAAGCGTCGCGCAAGCCATGCAAAATTGAATGATCTAGGAATGACGCACTCCAGAGAACTTATTAAGATTTTTAGAACAGAGAGAGAGAGAATTAAAGGGTTACTGTTAGTTTAAATTATAATTTTGATTTATATATTTTTTATCTTACATATTCCCCCTCCCCCTTCAAGGAGAAAACGGCTTGGCGACTGAAAAGCCTTTTTAGAAAAAAGCATCATAGCAGTAGCGAAACAAGGGAAATATTATAAAATTTGATATAAATAATTTTTTAAATAAAAAAATCTTGTAGATATCTTTTTTAACAATAAATGCAAATTCAAAATTCTATTGAAATTTAAAAGTCTTCAACTGTAAAAACACTGTAAGGAATGTCCTAATTTTTTCAAGAAATACTGGAAAAGTTCACAGTTCTGTAAAATATTTGCTTGAATATTAATCATAATATTTTTCCAGTCCTTAGCTGAACGTCTCTCATAAAAATTGATGTTGCCAATATAAAACCAAAATTTTCTTTTACAAATTCATGAAATTTAAATTGATTATTTTAAAAATATTACACATTTTCTTAATTGTAGAGCGATGTAAAATGAAATTTAGAACTTAATACATAGTAACAAAATTCAGTACAACAACAAAATAAACTTTGATGAAAATGGGCAAAACAGCGTGACTAGTTGCTGATGGCTGTGGTATGCTTAAATACAATTACACAATAGAAGCCTCTGTTCCTTAATAAAGGTAACTGGCTTCCAGTATTGTATAATTATCAAAGTTTATATTTCTAATTTATAGCCATAAAAATCTTCAACCTAGTTTAATGAAATGAAAAACAAATATGCAAAAATTAAAGATATATTAAATTCTACACTACCCTACAATAATAATATGGACCATATAATGCTGTGAACATAAAATAAGAAAATTAATTTCACAATTATAGCTGTTTAGAGAAGACTTTAAAACTTTTCAAATATAAAAATTTCAAAACATCCATTACCATTACAAAATTGCAAAAAATTTCAAAATTTTATAATGTAATTAAATTTTTATCTGAAACATCATTTGAAATAATATACTATTATTATCGAAATTACTAACTTACTTATTTTGTACAGACTGGAAGACCCCACAGCTTTTTCTTAATACGAACATTTCCATCTTATGGGCAAATACACAATAACGAATTAGTGTATGAATTTTCACCAGTTGTTCTCGCGGCAGTTATTTATAAAGGCCTCCGTTCCTTGTTTTAAAGGCAGCTGCCCTTTTTTAACTGCACTATAACATTCCATTTATTAAAAAATTACCACACTCCGTTATATTGGGGGGAAAAACCCTATTATATACGGGGGGGGGGGAACTGGGAACCTTCAAAGTTTACCTGAACATATTTTGATCCGTAAATTTTAAAATCAGTAACATAATTCCACACTACTTATGATTCCTATAATACTACTCAAAAACACTATTTGTTTATCATATTTTATACTAATTTTCAAAATTACTTCAAGAATTCTTAACAACAACTCAAAATTTTCAACATAAATACAAAAATATAATTATTTACTTTAATATCCTTCCCTATAAATAGTTTAAATAGCTTAAAAATTCGTTACTTAATTTGCTCACGCATACTTGTGAAAATTTAGAAAAATTAATGAACAAGAATTGTCCATTTTTGCAGTAACAGCACAATTAAATTGCAGAAATTTTAACCAAAATTGAAATGAAAAGTATGGAATCCGCAGCATATTATATAATTTTGTCTCGTTATGAATTAAATTCACACGAATATAACAATTTTTCAGCTGTCAATTGACGAAGTACTATTCGAAAAAGCGGAGCACAAACTCAGATCGACCTTGAACCCGTTGTAATGCTGAATCTCCTTAAGCGGTAATTCACAGATTATTTACAGTACTTTTTTCCCCCTAAATACTATAGAGATGGCCGAAGCAAATTCAGTATTCCTTTTCACTAGACTTTCGACTTCTGAATTTATCGGGAGATTAATTTTATTCTGTAAACACTACTCGTGATTATTTTTTGAAGCACTTGCAAAACATCACAGCAGAAGTATAATAGGTTATTTTTTAAACACTGAAAAAACAAATTTGATTATTCAATTCTTTCACATTTCCTTTGAATTATCACAAAACGATGATTTGAACAGCTGACTAAATAAATTTTCATTGAGGTCTCAGGCTGCAGGAAACTATACTACCGGCTAATTGCAATAATAAACGCAAGGAAAAGACAGAATACTGTTGATGCGTAATAGCTATATAGGGTAGATCCAAAGAATATGTATCGTTCATATTGAACATGACGTTCGTTGGGTAGATCCATACTGAAAAGGAAGAATTCTGATTGCATAGTATGCTAATAGTATGCTGAGTTCGTAATATCTAAGAAACTTGGCAGTCGAGGTAGTTTTAATTCAATTTTTATTTGAAACTGATTTTTGTGGCTACAATCACTTGGCACTTTAGTCGTGCCTATTCACAGAACATTTATATTTTTGATATTATTGCGCGAGCAAGCTAGACAGCGATATTACATCCTAGCAGGGTAGATAGCGAAGCTGAAGTGCGTAATTATGCAAGATGGCAGCACACGAAGAGGAAGGTTTTTGTACGAGTTAAAAAGTTTGAGTTCCCAATTATTACGTCATCAGCTTTGCGCAGGCCATGCAAAATGGAATGATCTAGAAATGACGCAATCCAGAGAAGTTATTACAATTTTTAAAACAGAGAGGGAGAATTAAAGGGTTACCATTAGTTTAAATTATAATTTTGATTTACATATTTTTTATCTTACATACATACATATGTGTGTGTGCTTATGTGTGTCGGTCAATATATTTTACAGTAATCAGTATAAAAATGCTCGTCACGTAATCTCTTAACATCAGAAATGTTTTTCTAAGGAATATTTTGAATATTTTATTTTTACTTTGGTACACACACACACACACAACACACACAAAAAAAAAAAAAAAAAAAAAAAAAAAAAAAAAAGAGGCTACTCAGATCACAGAAAAATTCAACATCCTTGTGATCTTTCCTTTCCCCAAAAAATGTCTATCAGGAACATCACAGGTTGAATGTTCATAGTCGAGCAACACACGGTAAACTCTGGTTTCACTGGTGTCGAAAGTCAGTCTTTAGATAGTATACAGTGCATTATTGCTATATGTATACACTGTGTAATGTCGAAGTTTTGAGTTCGATGAGTCCACTATTTTTCCCACTTCTAGGAAAGTTTATGTGGGGACATAGGGATGTGATTTGGACTGCCTTCTGCGCAGAGTGAAACATGGAGGTGATTGATGATGGTTTCGTTTTTGCGGTATGTTGAAAGTCTTGAGTAACATTGATTGCTGTTGTCGGTCTTATGCCTATCAAAGACTGTCGATGTATTTTAGAAGACCAAATCGACCAAATTGTTCAAACATTTTATCGCAAAGGAGTGCCATATGTATGAGAATGATAATGGGCATTTCACACAGCAAAAATAGTGACAGAGAGGTTTGAAGAACCTGCAAAGAGCGTAAGCATTTTTTGTGATCCTTTAATCTCAATATCATTAGGCTTTTCTAAAGTATGCTAGAGAACAGACGCTTTCCTCCTCAAATATCCTGGTAGTTCGGTCCGAGGTTCGAATCCCACGAACGGGCTGGCTGCATGGGCGTTTTCGTGGTTTTCCCCATGTGTAACGTGTATACGAGCCAGTTTCCCTTAGAAGGTCCTCCACGAAGGCATCCCTCTCCTTAGGCAGATAGCCCTCGAGGCTTTGCCATAATCACACACACACACCTCCTCAAATATCATGAATGAAAAGAACCGCAGTTCTGCAAGAGGGCATGGTTAGAAACACTTCTTATGATAGCGCAAGTATTGCATCAGATATTTCCAAGAATAATCACTGCATTATTGTCTTTGTCTTTGTCTTTTGAATGGTTAGGAGGCCTTACCACCAGTAACGATTCCGGAGCTTCGATTGGCGCTGCAAGACGAATGGGCAGCAATGCCTCAACAACTCATTGACACCCTCATTCTCAGCATGGGCAGATGCTGTGAGATGCCTAGCAGTCAGGGAAGATCATATCCCCTATTAAAGACCGGATGTTTCTTGCTAGACACCCATCACAGGGATGTTTCGGCCTTCAGTCGCATTGCGCTCCATGCTACTTTTTCAATAAAGCTTATTTTTATCCCTCTGATTTCTCTTTTAGTAAGTATTGCTTACATTACTCATGTCCTTACGTATTGGGGATCTTACGGTATTAAATGTGTTGATTTGGAAAGCTTTTGTACAAAGTTATATTGAAAAAAACCGTCTCGTCCTTAATTTTTGCACATCAGTGTATAATTGAAAAAATGGGCGTGTAACGCCACGCCTACTAGGCGAAGCTGAAGCAAATACAAAGGTATGTAGAATGAAAAAGCATCTGGGAGCTGTTTGAGCTGTGACAAAAGATATAACTAGCTGAAAAGTTTGCTTAATAAAGCATTTGAAAAAATAAACATTAAGTAATTTAAATTAAGTATGCTTTTGAAACAGGTTCAGAATGAAATGGATCGTAATTATACTGGTGGGAGTGGCTCAAATGAGGAATAAGTCAACAGTAACATATTTCTGGTGAATTTCAAGAGTTCTCGTACGAGAAATGTTAAAGTCATATAAATTAACAGTATTCACTAGCCTGTAGCTTCTTAATAAAGTATTCGAGATGCAGATTGACTCAACCAATCAGGTCAATCAGTTCTCCCAACCAATCAACGAATAATTTCATAAATAATAATTTTCGAATAATTTCGACCAATCAATTAACAATTTCTTTCTTCATGCTCTGTCGTATTAGATTTTTTGAAAAATATCCCTTAGGAAAAGTCTGTTACAAAGATTTTATTGTAAATATATATATATGAATGAACCAACAATTAATAAATTTCCTTTTTACAAAATTCACATCTTTATAATTACATTCAAAACAAAGATACATACTAGCTAACGTGATTTTTTTCAGATAATAAAGAAACTCAATTTGAAGTTATGTTATTGAATCCCGCACTTCACGTATACGTGAAAGACTCTGTTCAGAGTATGAAATACAGAATTATAGTAAGCGGTCTAAATTTCTTCATTCATTTAATAAGATTAATACTTAATATTTATTGCATTAAAACATTATTTTTTAAATCTTTTTTTTTTTTTTTTTTTTAGATGTATATTCTGGAAAAGGATGAAATGCTGTTTCCTGGAGCCTCGACTGATCTCAAAAATAGTAAAGGTTTGTTAAATTTTGCGAATAAATAGCATTTTTGTTCATTTATTTTATTATAAAATTTGCATTTCTTAAATGTAATATCAAAATTAAATGAAAGGATTTAAGACTATTCTTAAAATAAAATTATTTTATTAAAATAATAAAAAAATGAGGGGCATAATCTTGATTAAAAAATAAACCTAGATGTGTTCCAATTTAAGCTACTCATATTCTCATAGCATATAACAAATCAATGATTTATGCCTTCTCGCATTAAAGGCAACAGTGCAATTTATTCTTTTTTCGTCCAAAATACAGCGTCTTAAATCTTGTAAATTACTGTTTAATATAATGTAACATAAAAACACATCTGGTTCTATTTTTTATTTTTGCATTTTTGAAAATGATAAGAACCTAAGTGTAATGGAGTTATTGCAAAATTTATAACAGTTATAAATGCAATCATTTTAAAAAATAGCTTTAGTGTTGTCTTGCTTCTCTTTAAAATATACGTTGAGGAAATCAAGAAAGCCTTAAGTAGCCTTGGGTATCGAATGCTTAAAGGCAATATCTGTACTGCAAAAATAACTTTTTAGTCTATTTCAAACTTAAGCCTACATTATTGGAATCTGAATTTTATATTGGTTTATAGAAACAAATTTTAGTTTAAAGATACATGCTTCTTAGCTGTTTATGTAACTGCTTCCTTCCCATGAAGGTTTAGGAGAAATTCTTAATATAAACCAAAAAAAATGTTTGCAAAATTAATTTCATTATTGTACTGGCGATTTCCCCATCAGTTTTATTTTTTATTCCGGAATAAGTTATGAACATAAACTACAAAACAACTAATATATTGTAAAATACTTGGAAGTACTTCTGATGCATTTAAATATTACATTGTAAAATGAAATATTTAGATATGATATGAATTGAAATGTCATGATAATCATGAAAATGTAATAATTTAAAATGCTCGTATCTCTAATAAGAGCTGCTTTTTCAGTGATTCCTGTGCTCACAGAAATAACACATGAAATCTTGAAAGAAACTAGAAATCTGTATACAGAAAGTGCAGTAGAAGTATTGCACTCCTATGAGGTGAGCATCTCTAATAATCTCTAATTAGCATCTCTAATAATCCTATGAAGACTCTTAATGCACTCCTATGAGGTGAGCATCTGGCGCTTCTCTTTGCCAGACGTAAAATATAAAAACCTCTGATAAAAATATCCCTTAACGTGTGCTAGATGAAAGAAGCTTTGTTCATCTAAACAAACTAAGAAATTTTTTTGGATGATAATATTCTTAAAATGATGTCCCGTATGCATTAGAACTTATTATGCATAAGGTGGCGTAAATTACTTATTGTATATAAGAATAAAAGCGCAGCCACTAGCTTTACTCAAATTTATTTTTATTAGTAAATAGGTTAAAGATATTGCACTGGCTTTCTTTAATATGACATTAAGGTTCGAAATCTGCTTAACTGGCAGTGATCTTTCGCAGCAAAGATCCACAGCTTATGCAATCTGGTATCCTGATGCCAAGGAATAGTAAACGTTATTTGTTACAAAATATAACCTGTGTGTTCCAAGTTGAACTAACTATAATATAGATTCTGCTCTTGATTGGATCTCTGCTCAGTTTAATATACTAAATATAGAATAAATATACATCGTATCTACAAAAGTCCTTACCCGGCCTTCATTTTTGCAACTGCTGGTATACTTCACGTTATAGAAATGTTTTCAATGACGCAAATATTCCTGTTTGGGCATTTGTTTTCGTTTTGCGATTTTGCGTTGGTTTACTATAAATGTCCGCTTCACTTTTCAAACTGTTGCCACAAAATGTTAGTCAGAGTCCTGCATTATATTTGAAGAAATTAAAAAATGAAAAATCGGCAAAAATCCCCAGGGAGTGAGACTGCGTATCGGAAGTTCTAAAGATATGCTCAATTTGACACTATTTTGTAATAGTGTTAAATTGAACTGAATTTTATGGTTTAAGTACGAACAGCGTGATATTTAATAAATAAAGGTAAACAGAGAAAATGTTAAAAAACGTCCATTTGGACGTAATTTAAAATCTAAAACCTTTCAGTTTTTTTTTTTTTTTTTTTTTTTTTTTTTTTTTTTTGTTTTTCTATGATAAGGAGTACAAAGTTTCTGTAATATAAGTATAGGCCCAGAGAGAACGTATAAAAAGTTAGATTTAGTATTTTAAACCGACGTTAATTTTTCATTTAAAAATACGAAACAATAAGTATTTGCCTCATTTTAAACATTTTTTTTAATTGGAAATATATGTCTAAGGTCAACGGTTGTGATAATTAAAGCTGGGTTTGGACTTTTATAGACACGGTGCCCTCTGCGCTGCTGGCACTCTCCTGCCTAGGCTATTGAAATAAATTATTTTATAAAGTTCAGCCAAAAATAAAGAAATTAAGCTAAGGTATAACTTTAAAATGCATTGGATTGAAGCTCTTGTTGATTTTGTGACAGTGAAGGAGGCAATTCAGACGGATGTTTAATTAATTGCTTTCCAGGTTCAAAAAGAAAAGCTTTATCGCCAATGAAAAAAGAAATTATCGAAAATTGAAGCCAATGCCAGGAACCGTCCTAGAATACTAAACATTATTTAAAACTTATATTAGCTCTTAAGACTATGACAATATGTAATGATGCTGATTTAAAACAAATTATTACTGGTTTTGAATGTTTTCCGTCTTATTTAAATAGATTTCTTCTCCAAGATTCTAATCAATGCATTAAAATTTGTGATGTTTTTGGAGAGAGAATGTATTTTTTAATCATGTCCCTTAAGGCACCGGGCAAGGCATTTACAGCCTGATTTTAATGAAAATATAGTCTCAATATCTTACTGAAAGAAGTTGCTTTTTTTCATAAGAAATGACGAAAATAACTGAGGTGTACTTATTCAAATCTAATAGGTTATCCTTTAGATCTATTTTATGTATTATGTTACGTAACTTGTAGGGACATTAGGATTTTTTTGGAAGCAGGTAGGATGAAATATATGGAACTCCTTCAGCGGGAATCGAACCGTGGACCTCTGGAATATGCGCCCATCGTGCAGACCATCACACCACGAAGGCATGCAAAGAAGGCTCGAGGAACTTTAATTTTAATCTTTTTTATTACTCGCTTCTTTCACCCTATTTTTCCTGAGCTTTTAAAACTATTAAGTTAGATAAATTTCAGATATATATGCCTTTAAAATTTCTGTAATGTGCAAAGGAATCATGGCTGACCGAATACGTTGTTATGGCTAAGCGATGATGTATTTAGGCGGGTCGGAGTTTTGCTTTTAAATCCTATCAACTCAAATCCTGACATCAGAGCCAATATTAGATATATAAACAGCTTTAAAGATAAATAAGTTATTCTGCAGTAAATTTGCTTCTGTTTCTAAAATTGAATGAACGACAAAGTTAAAACTACTCTTCACAAAATATGAAGCATGTGATACTTATGATGTTGATGATCCCAGATTATTTGACCGAATGGTGTCAGATAAATCTTTACCATTTTAAAATGAGAAATAATGTACACGAAAAATAGTAAAGATAATTTATTTGACAGCTTCTTTCTTGTTGTATGGCTTCTACAGTAAGAGAAAACTTGTTGCAATTCTAAAACTAAGAAACTTGATTTATTTGAAAGAGAACTCTTATAATGTGAAAGAAGAACCGCACTGAACTACGACTGCCATACAGAATTAAGTATATATATATATATATATATATATATATATATCTTTAGGCGTGTGATTGAAATTCAGATGCTCCAGAAACAAAACTACACTAGGTATTTGAAAAATTTATAGAAAGCTATGAAGTTCTTACTTTAATTAACCAGTTATTATGATATTGATCTTTGTAACATCCGTTATCGTCACCAGAATGCAAATTAGCTGTGCGAGTATATTAATTGAGGGTTTTGAATCTCAGAAAAATAGTGAACTTCTAGCACTCGCATCGCATTGTTAGAATTTCTCGCCAGCTTTGTCTAAAAGCGATGTTCCGGCTTTGACATTTTCTAGCTAGCCGATGTTTTAGACTTTCGTGCCGGCAAAATACAGAACCAGATTATAGCTTATTTCACTGAATGTGTAGTCTTAAACTACATTACCCGCATTTGATTTTAATTGTCTGTCATTGCTTATTTTCGAAGTCTTCTTTTTTTTTTAGTATTTGGTGAATATTTGAGACGTAGCGATAACTTGTTGTCTTGTCTTGTAAGGTCTGCAGGACTTAATTTGCATATCAATAGAAACCGTACTTCCTGTTACGCAATTTCTAAAAATTAGATAGACACTTTTCTGAGCGCAGCTGGTCCGCTTCAATCTAATTGTCTCTTAATTACCTCGAGTTTAAGCTCCTTGTGCTATATGCTACTTAATTGCATTTTCTTTGAAATAGGCTGAACTAGTAATCCAGAATTCTAAGAAATAAAGAGATAAGACTAAATTAAAAGTTTATTTACGCTACGACTTATAGTTGCCAGTAAAATTTAAAAAAACCTTTTTACGGCTCCTTGTGAGGACTTGGATTACAATAAAGCTTATAAAGTAAATGTAGTAAATAAATTTAATAATTAGAAAACTCAGCTTCAGATTTTTCGCAATTTCTAAGCATAAATACTGTTAAATGTCAGAAATCACTTACTAAAGCGAGTTTATATCGAAAGTGGGCAGGAAATTCATGAGAAAAAGGGCTATCTTAACAAACTGTCTCTCTAAATTTACATTTTGTTTATTATTTAAATCCCCCCACCTATTTTACATTCTGGTGAAGCTGACGGAAGAAATAAAAGCAACAGGAAAGAATTAACATAAAAATAACGTGTAAATTAAAATAACCTTGCAATTTTAAGAGAACATAAACGTTGGTTTAAACTAAATCTAATAAGATGGCGGCAAGTCTAACGGTATATAAAGCTCCATGAAAAGAATAACTATTTTTATAACATGTAAATAATATGTATAATATTTAACACGCACACTATCAGTACTGTACGCGATGCCGAATTTGTACCATTCTGCGATTTTTTTTAAAGCAAAAATAGATGGCTGTGTATATGGGGGAGTATGAAACTGTTGTTTTCCGTATGTACACAGCGACCAATGTTCTCTTAAAAAACATCGAAGAACTGCGGAAATACGTCATCGCGCACTGTTTCGGTATTGCCCACAGTAAACAATTTATACATTATCATTGCACATATGCCTCATGAGGCGATATAAATAGGCTACCACGTTTGGCGCTTTGGCGCACATATGGCGACTGGCATCCCGTTAATAGATAAATACTTAAAAGTATTCAATAGCTAGAAAATATTGAGTTCCGTATATCAAAAATGTTCACTATGAACATATGTAAATACAGAAGTAGAAGCAAATTAAAATGCGATGTAACATGCACGCAGTGGAACATTTCAAACTATAGAAGTCCTAATTAAACATATCATTTTTCAGATAATACTTTCCGAAGCAAATTACCGAATAGCTTCTTTACTAACACTTCCTGCATTAAAATAAAATTCCTTTATTTTTAATTTTTTTATTAGGACATAGCCATCAGCTTGCAAGATTATCGTTTTTATGATTTTTTGAGAAATTGGATCACAAAAGAGGATGATAATTATGGTACGTAATTTTGTTTTGTTTGTTTGGAGAGCATTTATATTTACCCTTAAACTCTAAATGCATTCTGTAATTTTAAAAAAATTTGTTATTAATTATAAAACCTTATGTTGCGAAAAAAACTTAGTCTTCCCCCTTTTTTTTTATGTTTTCCATTAGAGATATTGTGATTTAAAATTTGTTCATTTATTATAGGGCTTCTATTATATATATGTGATCTCATATTTATTTTTTTTCCCTTGCAGAGCTTGTCAGAGTTTTAATTAGTCTTTAAAAATAGCTATAGCCAAGGCCTGGATACCATCTAGGCCCAGAAGTTCCAGATCTAATGCTTCAGATTTTAAGTGACTACAAATCAGCCTGTTAATCCATATAAATTCCGTTTTAAGGAGACATCGTAGGTCCTCAAAAAATGTTGCATCTAAGACCTTGATCTGTTTGGATAAGCCGTTGGTCGTTACAATGGCTTTATAACGAACGTTACAGTGTAACATTACAACGACAAAAAATAAAATTAGCTATAATCTGTAATAATAATAATAATAATAATAATAATAATAATAACGTGAAAGAATGTAAAAAAGAATAGATTTCCTTTTACCTTCCATTTGAAATTAAAGACTGTTTACTCGCCTTATTTATTTTTCTTACTAGCCCAAAAGAGCTATTGATCTGAAACACGATTTTACGTCGATTCGCTTTAAATGTCGTTCACTGCAAATGTCACTGTTCATTCCAATCTGTTGTCATTCTGTAGAATGTAAGACTTTTATCCTTCAAATTTAATCGGTCTGTTAGAGATTAACAGCTAAGCTATTTAAAAAACACTAGATGTAGTTTTTAAGAATATTAGTATTTTTTTAATTTTTAACCTTATTGATTTAAACAAAAATACATTTAATTCATGATTTGTCTAACATTAAACATTTTCATAGAATTACAGTATATATTTTTTCACTTTTCAGATTTACAGAAGATGTACACTCTTTTGCAAAAAAATCGAAGCACCAAGAAGGACCTTTACGATCGTGACGAAATTTGGTATGCAAAAACATCTTGATCGAACATGCAAATGATCAAAGTTTCAAGGCAAATGAACAGGGATTGCGATCATAGCACGCGTTTCTAGTGCACAATTCACAAAGTGTAAAACCAGTAACAGTAGCGGATTTATTTATTACTACCATTGTAAATCCGTAAAGAAGCAACTAAAGATGCCATTACGACGATATCGAAGACGTTACAGACAACTAAACGACTTTGAACGTGGTCGCATTGTAAGGTACGTGAAGCTGGGTGGGTCATACCGAGCAATAGGCATCCTGTACCTGCAGTGTACAGACACTGCTGTGCAAAGATGTTGGCAGCAGTGATTGGCTACAAAGAAATTGCCGATGAAATGAAGGCTCTGGAAGGCCAAGGAACAGAAAGAAGTCCGAGGCAAGATAGGATGATTGTTCGCCAGGCCGGAATCGCCCCAACGGTATCATTGTCGACTATTCAACGCACTACAGCCACGTCTATACCTCCCAGCCCACCAGCAGTCGAGCAGTAAAGTCGCTGAACACTGGTAGTTCGGTCCGAGGTTCGATTCCCGCGAACGGGCTGGCTGCAAGGGCGTTTTTGTGGTTCCCCATATGTAACGTGTATACAAGCCAGTTTCTCTTAGAAAGTCCTCCAAGAAGGCATCCCTCCCCTTAGGCGAGATAGCCCTCGAGGCTTTGCCATAATCACATACGCACACACTATATCTCCCATGGTACCGTCCACCATCTCACGACGCTTGTTCTGACGCGGGGTTACGCTCACATAGGCCTTTAAAACTTTTGCCTTTGACCCCACAACGAAGTGGTCTGGAGGGGTGTCGCAGCCGATTATCATGGCTGCCATAAGACTGGCATCGTATAGTGTTCAGTGATTAATCCCGCTTAACTCTTGAAGCAGATGACCACCGTGTTCGTATTTGGAGAGGATGGGGCCAGCAGGTTCCAATCAGCTTTTGTTTTACAAAGGCATACAGCCATAACTTCTGGTGTGATGATGCGAGGTGCTATTTCTTATGACAGCAGATCATCTTTAGTTATCCTCCGTTCATCTTTAACGGCTCAACGATATGTTGATACCATCTTGCCGCCGATTGCATTACCCTTCATGGCACGTTATCCTGAGGCCATTTTCCAACAAGATAATGCCAGGCCACATATACTGCTCGCATATCTCTGGACTATCTCCATGCATTGATACTCTTCCTTGGCCAGCAAGGTCACAAGAGTTTCGCCAATCGAGCATGTCTGTAACATGGTAGATCGCCAGATTCTGACACCACAAAATATCCCCGATCTGGAGCAACAACTGATGAATGCCTGGCAGAATGTCCCGCAGGATGACATTAGTAACCTCTTCCACTCCTTGCGTCGACGAATTTAAGTATGCGTTGCCGCCAAGAGCGCTTCGACTAACTACTAATTTGAACACTCAGCGGGTGATTGTGAGCCTTGAACAGGTAGTATGACCTTGATATTTTAATCATTTTATTATCTGTGTATGAGCTATACACATATTCAATTTCATCAAAAACAACCACTTCCTTCATGGTGCTTCGATTTTTTTGCAAAAGAGTGTATAATGTTGTCATGTTAATCCAAATATATTTTCATCTTTGATATCAATACCTTTCTTTTGCGGAGAAATTGTTTGGAATTAATAAACATTTGTCTGAAAGGTTGATTTTGTTCTATCCAAATCAGAATTAATTGAAAGAATTATGTAATTTATTTTTGAATAACATTATGCCTTTCGGATGGAAATAAGCATGATAAAATTCTTTCCCACCTGCATCATAATTTCAGTAAAATATTCTTATTTCTTTACATTATGCAGTCCTACTAATAACCCAAGTACGTTTTGGAGGAAGCCTGTAATGGAAACAATGAATTTTTCCGAAAATGACATTTGTTCAAATGTACTGGATGAAATTATATTTGAAAGTAACTTTCTTTTTTTCTCTCTCAAAGTGGAAATCTCTTTACACGGAGCAGTTAAACAAGCTGTTCTTGATCCAGATTCCATTCTCAGATTTACTTCGTCGAAACTTATACCGCATGATATACATGTACGTAACTTTTTACAACTATAATTATTTATTTTTAACTTTATTTTTGGGACAATGAATATTATTATAATCTGGATGTTAAAACTGTATCAGTTACAAATATGAGCAACTTTTATAGCTTTTAATTTAGCAAATTGTAGATCACTCTATTGAGAAAGTGTACTGATATACAACGATATAGACTTATCTGAATGGCTCAAGAGTATTCCTCTTTGTATGCATGAAGTTCGCTCTGTATATAAGTACTGAAATAAGTTTACATTGCTCAATGTATGGAGCTATATATAACGAGTTCTTCTGCTAATGAAAATATATGTTAATATTATTTATAAAGTTTATATATGAAATCACCTTAAAAGAATTTATAAAAAGAACATGTTTCCTTTCAAATCAAAAGTAAATATTTTCCCAATTTTAAAATAATTAATAAATAGTTTTAAATTTTAAACAAACTTCTGTTAGTATAAGACAAGAATTCGGAATTTTCTGCAAGTTATTAGCTTTTTTAAACAATCAATAATTTTTCGTATTTTGATTTTTATCGTAATGACAAAATCTTTTCCCAAAACAAACAAAGGAATGTAATGAACTCGATTCATATTTAATTTAATTTAATTTATTTATTTAATATTAATACTAATTTTATGATTGCAATGAGCTTTAATTTTTAGATAATTCTTTAACATAAATTATTTGGTTTAATGATATTTTAACAAAATGAAAAAGTTTGAAATATTATGTGAATAACAGGATGAAACAGACATAAAAATGAGTAAATGTATTTAGCAAAATGGTACCAGTCAAAAAGCTTAATACAGTCAAAAGTCTTTAATCCGGACTCGTCGGGACTTCGGTGATTCCGGATTATCGATTTTTCCGGATTATAGATCATCAGTTTAAATCTGGTAAGATGGCATGCAGAAATTCTAAAATTAAAAATATAAAAACCGTAATTTATGAAATAAAGAACAATTATGATCTAAAGGGTATCAAAATTTACAAAAAAAAAAGCTTAATATTTATTTGTTTACTTTATTAAACATTTCTTTCAACGCGCGCATGCGTAAAGCATACATTATGCATAGCCGAAATTAGAAAATTGCAACCAGAAAACTATTTGATTTGTATTCGTGATATTTATAATGACAGGAATTTGATTTAAATCATATCAAAGACGAAGTACATTGAGATGAAATACTACATTTAATAAGGAATTATAAGCCGAATAAAATAAAAACATCTGCCCTGAAGATAACGATAGTGTTGACAGATCAACTTCCAGTTCATTGCGCGCCGCCACGTTCCCCCTTCCCCCCCCCCGCGCAGAGCAGCGTGAAATTGATAAACAGATTTCCGAACGGTTAGATAAACAAAGGATATCTTTATCCATTTTTTGGCAGCAATTCCACTTTTTGTTTGATGGACATCGAAACATACTTTCGTTTTGTAGATCCTTGTTAGCTCCAGCATCGGAAATTCTATTTGACATAATCGAAAGTTCAAGTTACTTTTATAAAATTGCTCTTACAGTCTGCAAAAAATAATAAGCCGCATCCAATTCGAAGATTAAGGAACAACGCAATCATCAACATTAACTTGAAAATAGATAATTAGATAATTTTAGCTTATACCGTCCGTTATACATTAAACACGCACGCGAAAACGTATTCTGCGCTTGCGCACACGCATATGCGCAGTCGTAAAAGTCTTACGCGCACTCTTAAACGCTTATGCGCATGCGTCAACGCGGCGCATGCGCAGAAAGTTCTTAGCTTTGAGGTCCGGATTATAGATTATTCCGGATTATGAGTTTCCGAATTAACGACTTTTGACTGTACTGGTTTGTAACAAACCCTCTGCTAATAATAAATAGAAAAATCTGCGAAATGCAATAAATAATATGAGGTATGCTCCCGCCGGGTAAACAATATTTTTACTGCTGTATCATCTTTGTTTTATTAAATGGCCTCCGTACAAAAATGTTGTAGGAATCCGGTTGATAGTTACCTTATAATTGAAGAAAAACCACAAAAATCCGTCATTAAGCTAGCCTCGTTGCTGGGTACTGAACATGTGAGTACTACTAGTGTTAACTGGTCTTATCCACTGGGCCATTGGTAGGCCTGCTTTTTAAGTATTAAGCTAATACATCAGAATCCTAAGAGAAAAAGAACGTATATTGCAAATACAAAATTCGGAATATTGGTAAACTTGTTATTAGTGTTACTGATCTTCTTGAGCTAAATATAATCCAGATTAGATTCATGAGTTCATCGGGGTCTAGAAGAAAAGAGTTACGTCTGTTGTTCAATACCTTTGGCATCTTATAGGTAACAGAAAGAATTTGTCCATATCCATCCCAATTTTGTGGGAGCAATACACCGGACAAAAGATGCAAGTCTTCTACTAATAACCACTCGAGAAGACTTTCGGCTCTATGGTATTTTTATACCCCATGCCATGAAGACACTAAACATTTACACATTCTCAACGATTCAAACCTGAATCGCCGTGATATGGGTCCGCTAAGCACAGTATTGATCAAAGCGCACATTATGCTTTGTCATACTTCGGTATGGTAGATGGATATCACTTTATACATCGTACTCCGGGTTGGAAGTGACTACGATCGCTCTTCAACACATTATTTGGAGATAGAAGCATTACTAACTGATTTTTTTCAGTTTATGTTATAGTTGAAAAAAGACAAATTTGTTTAAATAGTTATTATTGAATAATAATCCGCAAATTTAAATATTCTTTAAAATGTGCTGTTTTGCTTATTTATTCATACTCAGTAGCATTATACTTAAACTACTTTTTTGGAAACTTATATACTTGTTGTACGTTGTCTAATAATTTGTCCAAGAGTTTTATATTTCATTTATTTATTTATACGCTCATTTATTATATTTAGTAAATTAAGGATATATAAGAGAATCAAAAGTATAATTATGGAGACTACTTTTTTTGCCCAGTTTTTTAAACTTCAATATATTGCTGATAATTCAGAAGAATTTTTTATCTTATTTTTAATCTTTATTGTTTAAGGAAACAGAGGCACCTGCACCTCATAGATACTTCAACGTAGATAGAGAGATATTTCCTTTACGTTTAGGAAACACCACAGGTAAGTATCAACATTCCGTCAAACTAACAATAGTTTTCATATGGAAGAAAAATTACACAAAATATGACAAGAATTTTCACTCTGGAAACAGTATGCGATTAAAGTTATTTAAATTTAACATCAAGACATTTAAAAAGTTCTGCTTCTTTTCTACAGTCCATTAATAATTAGCTGATTTCTGACATAAATTGCACATGTTCGTGGATCATCACATGCAACATATTAGATAGTTCATATATTTTTGTAGTATAGTATAAATCAAAGAGTTTAAATTGAAATCCCATTAAGTTCCTTGATGAAAATAAACGCTTTAAGTCAATTTTTATTCTGCAGAAATGAGTTGACAAACTAACCTTCCCATAAAACCTACCCTGTTTTCTTTTGACCTGTACTTCGGATGCATATGAAGTTTTCACATTTATAGGAGTACGAAAACGTTCCATCACACTTCATTTTACAGTAAATCATTTAAAGCCTTTCATATCGGTGTTATATTTCCAAATTAATCGGGCCCTGTCTAAAAAATCAAATTTGCAACGATAGAAAAATTACTATCACAAACCATCAGAGTAAAAGAAAGCTGTCTAAGAAATTGAAAAAAAAAAAAAAAAAAGTGAATAATAGCTGAAATCAGATTAGTCGCAGATAACTCTGCCAAAAAAAAAAAAAAAAAAAAAAAAAAAAAAAAAAAAAAAAAAATTTGAAATGTTTCAGATTTTAAATTACGTCCAAAGGGGCGTTTTTTAACATTTTGTGTGTACCTTTCTTTATTAAATATCATGCTCCTCGCACTTAAACCATAAGATCCAGTTGAACAGCAATATCGCAAAATAATTTTAAAACGAGCATATCTTTAGAATTTCCGATACAGAGACTCACGCGCTGGAGATAAAAATGTTTTTTCTGCACAAACGTTGCCATTGCTCGCTTTGAAATCCTTGAGTTTGTTAATCAAAAATTCGTCAAAGTTTTAAAAAATAGGAAATCGATCATAAAACAAATTTCAAATTTCAAATTTGGTCTTCCACATGCTCATATTCGTTGGAGGATTACGTTATTCAAAATTCGATGACTCTATGTACCGTTATTTTATGACAATGTGAGAAATATACATACATTTACGCAGATTTTCATTATTTAATTTCTTCAAATATAATGCAGGACTCTAACATTTTATGGCAACAGTTTGAAAAGTGAACCGACATTTATCCGTCCGACGCAAAATGCCAAAACGAAACTAATAGTCCTTCGGGATTCAAATCCCTTTGGACTAAAAAAAAAAAAAAAAAAAAAAAAGTAAAAAAGGTTCTAACCGACTTTTATATGCGAAATTAAACTCTTTTATTGATTTTCATATATAACACAATTTCTTTATTTCTAATTATATTTATTCTTCTATTTACTATAATGTGCTTTTTCTATTCCATTTGCGGTGTGTTCTTTTTATCTTGAATACCGACCTCATTATCCATATTAAACAGTGAAGGCTTGTTAATGGCATTGGTCATCAACAGCCTTCACGTTGACCTTTCGACCATCACTGTTTCCGTGACGTTGAAGAGGCTAGGTCTCTGTTCTGGTCTCTACTGCCTCTTTCGATGATAGACTTTAAAAGCAGTGTCTTGATATCAAAGGACCACCGATAGATGGGCATCTGGCTCATACTCCAGTATTGTGCAAACACCTACTCATGGTTTATGTATACGCTGCTGGGCCTCCTGGCTTCAGACTATACTGACGTCCAACCCAGGTGTACACCTGGCGTCCAAGATCACTCGTTGTAGAGTAAGGATAACCAGAATCGTTCTTCTGATTCGTCCAAGGAAAAGTTTCCCTCTGGCCACCGCTTGCTGTCATCCGAACTCGCCTGATTGTCGCAACCACTGTTATATACAAGATGAACAGTGCTGACATTTCGGCCTAAACAGATAAAGATTTTTCGAAGTGATAAACCAACATTTCCGATTTCAAGGATTCTATTTCTTCCCTTTGTTATAGGTGCTTTCCACATACCAAACTGTAAGACGTAATTCGATTTCTAATGTCACATGTGGCCAAAAACAAAATTGCATTCTACTAGGTTTTTATCCATTAAAGGACACTGGAATATAAAATATACCGGAAGTTTGCAATTTTTTTATCCTCCTAAAAATGCTAACTTTTTTACACCAAAATCTGTGACCTTGAGTTTCTGATATTTTCTTTTGACTCTAAATGGCAAAACTGGTTAGTACTGTGCCTTAATGACAATATGCATGGAAGTATTACAAATACAGAGTATCTGACGTGCTATAGTCCGTTTTAGAACTCAACATATAGACGTGATTTAGATTATTCTGCTTGAAAGTCCCCAACACATTCTGGAAGCACTTGCACTGAACGTTCTGTGAACGTTCTTGTGCTAGTTGGGAGCCTATGAATGCCCCATATTTTGCAGTTATAAAATTAATGTATCTCGTTTAAAGATCCCGTGTTTGAAGATTCATAAATCGTATTAGAGGGGGGAATTCAAAATCTGCAATTATATGATGTATCCATGTCTCTTATATATTTACTATATTTCAATAAAAACTGATAATTAAAAGCAATTAAAAGGGTTAATCAGATAACCTAAAGATCAAATACGCTACTCAACACTGAAATTACAGATTCAGCATGGGAAAGCCGTAAGATTATGCAAATTTGGGATGTCGCGCACATTAGTTAAGACAAGCAAATTATCAAATCTCAAGTGCCTTAATTAAAAGCGGGGATAGATGAAAGAGGTTTAAGTGGTTTAAAGGAAAAGCATACGAGAGGTACCTAAGTACGAGATGTCACCACAAAGACCCTTTAAAGATCATTGGCTTGCATTTATGTTTATATATGAGGAAAACTACAAACACGTTATGCAACTACCCGTTCGCGAGGTTTAAATCTGGACTGAATGACCAGAATGTTCAGCGGTTTTACCTTCGATTCTCGGTAGGCTTTTTATATTTGGTTCTTAAGAATATAAAATATCTATTTTTTTTTATATACCTGTTTTCCATAATGAAACTAAAATTGAAACAGTTTTACTACTCAACCTCAAAATACGAAAAACACGTCAACCTTATTATTGGTGTCCACCGAAAACGTCGCGGAGAAAACAACGCAAGGAGAAAACGTCTTGGTACAAAACATCGTGGGAGAAAATATCGCAAAGAGGAAACATCGCAGTTCTAAAACATCGTGGTACAAAATATCGTGGTAAAAAATAAAGCGGTTCAAAAACTTTGCAGCTTAAAAATATCGTGGCAAAAAATAAAGTACATACAAATCATCGCATGACGATAACATCGCACACATACGTTTTCATGTTTTGAAAGTTGTAAATGCATGTTCGTATAAAGATCATAGAGCGCAAGAAGGAAAGAAGGATTCTTTTACTTCTATATTTCATATATTTGAACAAACTAATAAATTTTTGCTGAAAAAATAAGAAGGAAAGTTAAGCATTTAAAAATTGAAAATGAGTAGAAAATTAATGCCACTTAAAAGCTTAGAAGAACTTTGAATTTATATAGTTAATTAACAATAGACATTAATAAATTAAGCTTTTTTTTATAATGTTTAACTGATAAGTTTTCTTGAAAAATACAGTCTAAAAATGCTTCGAAAAAGAAAGATAAATAACTGCATGAGGTTATCTCTATAAAAATTGCTTAGTTAGTGATCATATTATTTTCTTTCACATTTGTTAATCTGATATTGTTTTAATGAAAATTATATATTGTTTTGTTTCCGTTTATTCTTAAAGTGTCGTTTGTCGTTTGTATATAGCGTGCAATCAATTTTTTAGGTATCGATTTTTTTTAGTGTGTGACAAAAGTCAGTTACATAATATGTCACTATGCGGTTTGAAAAACGCATGTATGCGATGTTATCGTCATGCGATGATTTGTAGGTATTTTACTTTTAACTACGATATTTTCGTCGACGTTGTTTTTAAACTGCGAAGTTTTTGAACAACTTTATTTACGACCACGATATTTTAGAACTGCGATGTTTTTCTCTACGAGGTTTTGTACCACGACGTTTTCTCCTTGCGTTATTTTCTCTCCGACGAATTCGTCCGCGATGTTTTTGCCGCGATATTTTCGGCTGTAACCTTATTATTCGCGTGTTAGATGTATGACAGATATCTGTCTATGCTATTGGTTAAAAATCTATCAATATACATTTAGAGTTTTTAGTAAAATGTACTTAATAGCTAATTATTTATTTTGCACTTTATAGCTCCACCAGGACATCTGGAGTCCAAAGTTCCATCAATGTTGAAACATCTGGAAAAAAACCGTATAAATGAAAAGAAGTTCGAAAATCTTCGACAATGGTTGCTTAATGAAATTAAGGCAGATTTTGAGGTAAGATAAAAACCGCATTTTTTCCCCCTCTAACCTAAAAGGATAGCTATCAGATTTTTCAATGAAAAGGTATTCGCTATCGCTTGCAACCTCCAGAATAAGGCATATAAAATAAGTATTCTATCTTATCAAGTCCCACGTTATTCCCTTTCTGGAATTTGAAACCGATATACCGAGGAATTCGTGCCACTTTGTATTCCATTGCCTCAAATGCTAGGCAATCTGTGACGCTTTATTCTGTGCTGTCTCTTATTTGGGATAGTTGTTGCTGGAGGTGAGCAAAAACTCTCTTTTATGGGCTCAGATCAGAACCGTTCGCTCATTGAAATGAGTTAGTTCTTTTTTATGCCGCAACGCTCACTAACAATAACTTAGATGAAAAAGATCCGGAACGATGGTGAATCAACAGCGGGTTAGTGAGGTTGGAGCAAAGAACAAAAGAATCAAACGAGCCGGCCGATCGGAAGTCAGACGACGCTGATACCTGAACTGGTTTATTTCGAATTACTTCTGTTTCCGAGATTCCTCTTTCCGCGTTTTTTTCAAAATTCTTCTGTGTGTGTGTGTGTGTGTGTGAATAAGTTAAGTCTTTGTCAGATTGAAGACGTGTCTTAGTTTAGGCTCCTCTCGAAATCTTTAGCTTCATTCCATTTATAATTCTGCTACAATATTAACTGTTATTTTCCCATCTTATGTTAATCAATGTGAATGTTTTAGACATTATTGAAACTAAAAAGAAGCTCAGTAATAAAGGTTATCAGTATCGAATTCAGAATAAAAATAAGGAAAACGTAGTTTATTAGATTTGTATAATTGAAAGAATTAAAAGCGCAATTAAGACCAAAGAAGTCGTCGTTTCAGAAGAAAGAACGCCGTTTTAAGAGCGAATATCTATTCTCAAAGAGTCCACCAGCAGCCGAGCGGTAAATTCGCTGAACACTGGTAGTTCGCTCCGAGGTTCGAATCCCGCGAACGGGATGGCTGCATTGGCGTTTTCGTCGTTTTCCCCGTTTGCCCCATGTGTAACGTGTATCCGAGTCAGGTTCCCTTAGAAAATCCTCCACGAAGGCATTCCTCCCCTTAGGCGAGATAGCCCTCGAGGCTATGCCATGATCACACACACACTATTCTGAAAGATTATAACTCTCCTTTATGAAGATTTTGGAAGAATATTGTTTTTTACTTAGGAACAAATATTTTAGTTCATTGTCAAAAATCATCGCAGAGTTTGAACACCTCTCTCTTTCCTTTTAAATACAGTATTAGCTTCATTCATGCAAAGATCTGAGATGGTAAGTATTTTTCGATTATTTCTTTCAAAAATTCTTTTTTTTTTTTTTTTTTTTTTTATTTAAAATTTTTTTTCTCTTACATTTCGAGAGAGGTCAAGGTCCACTCGGCACCCTACTATGTAACCCCTTTAGGAAGAGGGGTAATGAAGATTGATGATTTCGCGGAAACAGGAACGTTTTTGACAACCGCGAAAACAGGAATCGCGAAAAAAGGGACACCATTTATTTAAGCTGAAGTTTATATTACCTAAAACCTTCTTTCTATACAGAACTAACAATAAAATTTGAGAATAAAATTGTTTCGAAAAGTTCAAAAATTATAAAAAATTAAACTCATTTTGATATAAGAGGATAAACATTATTTTCTTCCCTAAAATGAGAAGTTGGAGCGTCTCCAACTTCCTTCCGCTCTTTTTTAGCCCAAAGGGTGTAAGCACAGAAGGGCTATTAATTTCGTTTTGACATTTTGCATTGAAAATTTTAGATGTCCGTTTCATTTTTCAAATTATTGCCACCAAATATTATCGCCCTGTGTTATATTTTAAAAAAATAAATAATGAAGAATCTGTATAAATGTTTGTAGGTTTCTCGCATTGTGATAAAACAACGGAACGTGGAGCCATTCAGTTTTGAATAACGTTATCCTCCACCGAATGTGGGCGTCTGGAATATGGAATTTGCCTAAGCCTTTTCAAGGCTTATGCTTAGGCAATTATTGAATTTGGAATATGGAATTACTTTGGAATATGGACTTTGTTTTATTATCGAATTTCTATTTTGTAACACTTCAACGAATTTTTTATTAAGAAACTCAACAATTTAAAAGTGAGCAATGTGCGGATTCCCCCCCCCCTCTCCAGCGCGCGAGACTGTGTATCGAAAATTCTAAAGATATGCTCATTTTAAAATTGTTTTGCGATATTGCTGTTGAACTGAATTTTATGGTTTAAGTGCGAAGAATATGATAGTTAAGAAATAAAAGTAACGCAAAAAACGTTAAAAAAAAAAGGCTGTGGGCGTAATGGGCGGGGGGGGGGGGGGGGGGGGGGGGGGGGGGGGGGGGGGGGGGGGGGGGGGGGGGGGTGGGGGGGGGGGGGGGCAAATCTGGGGGGGGGGGGGGGTGGGGGGGGGGGTGGGGGGGGGGGGGGGGGGGGTCAAATCTGAAAGCTTTCAGATTTTTTTTTTTTTTTTTTCATTTTTAATTTAATTTATTTATTTATTTATTTTCCCAATCAGGCTTTCGTTCGCTTAGCAAAGTGAAAATGTTTGTGAACGAATAGTAGATGTTTACTCCTGGAACTCTTCCAAAAGAGCTGCTCATGAACTAAAACAGCTGTAACTCCGTTTTCTGGAGCAAATTCGATCAGTAAAGTGAATCGGTTTTTGTAATTTTCATTTTATTTTTAGTCAAAAGGGGCAATTTGCCCTGAAGGACTATTAATTTCGTTTTGACATTTTGCGTCGAAAACATTAAAAGGCTGTATCACTTTTCAAATCGTTGCTACCATATATTATTGCTCTGTCTTATATTTAAAGAAATTAAATAATGAAGAATCTGCATAAACGTATGTATGTTCCTCGCATTTTGATAAAACAACGGTACCTAGAGCCATCAAAATTTGAATATAACGTAATCTCCCATAGAAATGGCATTTGAAGCTCTAAATTGAATTTGAAATTTGTTTTATTATTGATTTCAGATTTTGTAACACTTCAAAGAATTTTTGATTAAAACACTAAACGATTTCAAAACGAGCAATTGCGAATCACCGTAGAAACAATTCAGAGAATATTAGAAACGCTACCAATGTCGAAAAATGCTACAAATTTATTAGTTTTTATTAGTTGTATAAGTATTTAAGACATCATTCTGTGAGCATACAACGTTTTGATTCAGTTTAGGAAGAGTCTTCCCAGTCTTCCACGATGAAACCTCAGTTGCCTTGGTCATTGTTGCAAATCTGCCCTTGGTATCTTGAGGCGATCATGTTTCAGAAAGTTCTTTAGTTTTTCCTGAAGTAGTGCAGAGAACAGATCTGACGCTCTGTTCCTCTCAGTTTGACTGAGATGCGATTGCTTGACTGCGAATATGATGCGAATTTCTCACTTCTTCAAAAGGCTTAGCAATTATTGCAATAGGCATGGACGCGTTGTGCTTTCCTCATCCCAGAAAAAACTTCTTACTGGATTAGGATTTTCATTTTCTGCCTAAGGAGAACTTGCAATTCTTCGAACGAAATATCATATTAATAAATATGTTTGTTTACTTTTTTTCTCTACCCATTTTTTTCATGCATAGACGCAGTTTCTGTACTTATGAGCCCTCTAAAGTAGAACAAATTTATCTCCGCATTTAATGTGTCTATGAAATGCAACAATATTCGCATGCATTTCGTAATGCGGTACCGAATTTGTTATATAGGGGCATTTTTCAAGCCATGTACGCATCTTTCAAGAAGAACGTTCTGTATGGAAGCACCACTGTATAAGATGATGCTAAAATACCTGGTAAAATTGTAAAAGCAAGTACAGGGGACCCAAATAAGCGGATTTCGTAATTTAATATGTGGTCAGAAACGGCACCTGTGAATGCACATAAGGAAGGTATGAACAATAGGTAAAGCTATGTAAAATCAAAAGAAACGAATATTTTAATAATTCATCTCTTTACAAAAGTTGCTTGAAAGTGCATTAATATAAGATGATATAAGATTCAGAAAAGTGGCGCGTGGATTGGCGTATTTTAGTAAAACCTCAAACATTTTATGCACATTCCAGCAGCAATGACAGGGCAGCCACCAGACCTTCATCGGACTTGTGTCCATAGATTTCGTTGCTCTTAATAAATTTCTAGAAGAGGCATCCATGGTGGCCAAGGGATATCTTCAGCCATCCAATGCAAACCACCAGTCCGGCAACTAGATCTTCATCGGACTTTGGTAAATATCCATAGATTTCGTTGCTGTTAATGAATTTTCAGAAGAAGCATCGATGATGGCTAAGGAATATACCCACCCAATCCAGTTCATTGGGTTTGTAAATAGCATCGAAGTAGTTTTCGATATTACTGCCGAAATGAACTTGCGCTGCAACATACTGGAACTTGAATCGTATGCAGCTGGAGCACTGTCGGAAAGAAGTTCATGCAAGATATCTTGTAGACAGATGAATGCTGTTGTTCAAGCAGCTGGGTAGAATGTATGATCCTACCAAGTAGTTTTGTATCATGCCATCGCAAACGTTATGGGGGAATCTTCTTTGATGGGCATGTGATCTCGTGTTATGTAGATTACCATGTACTCAAAGATGAAAACTGTGGATATCTAACATACCGCAACTTGCAAACGTAGCCTCGTAAGTGGATGATATGTACCAAAAGAAGTCCAGGATTTCTTGCAGCCAATTTTAGACACCAGCGGGCAACAGTGAAACGAAGATGATAATCGGCAGTTTAAATGCCTACACTCCCTGCAGCTCATATCAATGCATTTTTTACTCATTTAATATCCTCCAAACGTTTGCTTGGCTCTCATCCAACGCCTGTACAACAGCTCTCATGTGTTATATCAGGATGGCTTTGGAGTTCTGCGATATTTTTCTCTTTTTACGTCACACCTGTAAGCACGGAACGATCCATTATTGCATAGTTTTCGACGATATTTGATAATTAGGCAGTTGTTTATTCAGGAATCGTTCTCTATACGTCTGAACAGTTGCTGCATTTCCATTCATAATTCCATTGATAACATGCATGGCAGCGAGACAAGAGTGTTTTTCATTCGTGTTCCAATGCAAATCGCTCGAAATCCGCGCATTTACGCCAACGGACTGCTTTAAACTATTATTTTAAAAGTGCCCTGCATTACATCAGCGCGCCATTTCTACCTGTAATATTTCATTACAAAATACACTCTTTTGCCCCCCCAAACAAAAGGCGGCGTGAAGAAAGTGACTGTTTTTATAGAAATTAAATATGGGTAAATCTCATACACAGGTAATGAATAATTAAAAAATTCAAGACCATAGGACTTACTAGTGATGCTTATGTCAGTAATTGATGAAACATCCTTTTGGCGGCGATGCATGCTTGTAAACTCGTTCCTCAACTGTTGCTCTAGATTTGCGAAATTTTGAGGTGCCCGAATCTGGCGGTCCTCCATATTCTATACATGTTCGGTTAATGAAACTTTTGATGACCTAGCTGGACAAGAAACAATATCAATCGCTCGGAGAAAATCCAGAGAAATGCCAGCCATATCAGGCCCAGCATTATCCTGCTGATTCAAATCAGGATCCTGCTGACTGTCGTGTGGACAGTCAGTGCGTTCGAGTGACGTTTGCAGTATTTTAGTTTGGCATGCGATTTATAGAAATTTGATGAGTGTAGCAGATTGCGTGCCAATATAATTTAAGCAGAGTAAGAAAATACACGATTCAGAAGCAGGCGATATTTGCATGGTTGATGAAATTGTTATGGACAGTCAATATTTATTCTAGCATCCGGTATATATTCATCCAACTGTTAATTCAGGAGATTTGAAGATATCATTGTTTAGTGAATTGGTGAAATATTCTGAGATTACGTTACTGATGGATGAAGAGTTTACTGCAGGCACAGATGTTTCAATTATTATGATAGGAGATTTCAATGTAGACGTCGAACGGAATGAAAAGGAATTTGATTTTATGAAACATCATTTTAATATCAATATGGTGCCAAGTAACTATACGAGTACACTTGGCAATTCATTTATAGATTTAAGATTTACTAGGAATATAGGTAAGTACAGAAATATTAAAATTATATATCTTATTTCTCACATCATCGACGAATTTTACATAAGGCCATTTTGAATGAATAAATGTAATAAATTTAAAATAAAATAAATTCTATGTGTGTGTAAAATCTTTTATTTGTTTTATAACATCCTCGAAGTTCTTTTAATAATCCTACGCATTAAACATCAGCGATTCTTTAAACTAAATGAGAGAGCCTACCGTCAACTTTTTTTTTATCAATGATTATTTAAGAAAGTGCAGGACACAAAATGTATGGCAATCATCTACCGAATTTAAAATTCTGTTAGATTTATAAAGAAATTCTATAAAACTTAATCTGTTATTGCTATCGTGACATTTTTAAAAGTAAATACAATAATGTGAATTATTCCAAGTATTAAAAGCAAATTTAATACATGCTGCCTTTTATGGGGTGGTATCAAAAACTTTCAAGATTGGGTCTACGACAAGTCAAGAGATGGGTTATAAGACAACAAGGTTACGCACATAGTCACAGGGAACATGGACTTCATAAATCAGTGTGCCAAGAGATATTGTATGCGTGTATCGGTAATTGCGCCATTCGTGCTATTACGGCCATGTACAATACCACTTTTACGATTTCAACGTAAACAAACAGGGAAAGTGAAATTTTATGTTCATAATTTGGCAAATCTGCCTCCCAGATGTTGCACATGATGCAACAAATTTATGGTGACTTTGCATGAGACGTGCAAAGTGTTTTGAATAGCAAGTGAGCTTCAAAAGTAGAACATTGCTGGATGTCAACGAAAGATCAAGGCGCTAATTTGACACCATTGTGAAGATCCAGTGCGAATCACAAAACGTACTTCTCATGCTTCCAGAAATGGACTTGAGGACACATTCCAGAAATGACAAGAATGCATCGAGACTGTTTTGAATATGTAGGGTGCACAGGTACATAAAGAAAGTAGTTTCTTGTTAATAGCACTAGTGTAAACACTGCTGTCATCGTTGTTAATTTTATCTTTCTGCTGCCTAATCATACTTCTATTTCCTTTCAGTCATATCCAGGTAGGAATACCAAAGTTGAATTTAAAAAACTGGATCATCATTTCAGTGTGCGGACTAAGTACCACATAGATTCAGCTTTCAAAGATATTGGTAAGTATGATTCATAGTTCTTAAATATTTCATGATCAATACAAATTGATTTATTCTTCATTGAGTTTGTCTATGCTATGCGCTTTAACAGCTGATTTAATTTTCAGAAACATCATACATGTGTAATCTGAGGTTCAACAATTTCTGTTTTGTTGAAAATTTCTTCAATCATTCATTTATTGCTGTCCATGAATACATTTGAAAACAATCTGCTTCGGTTTATAATGATTTGTCAATTTTCATCTAATGATATTGGCTTAGTTCTATGTGCAGGTGCAAGCAGTAAGACATATTCGGATTTAACAAGAGCGAGATAAATAACATTTTCTGTTTCAGGAAAAGTGACATTCAGTTTCGCTATTTCTTTTTTATATGATTTGCGTGGCCAGCCGCCCGAAATGGTTATTATATGAAAAAGAAAGCAATATATATAATGATTTTTAATAAATCTAGCTGACAAAAATTCGAGAAACCAGCTAGTAATTAATAAAAACAGAAATGAAGAACTGCATTCTTTTGAAGTGCTTAGTTTGTTAATAACAGAATAAATTTGAAAGAAAAATTAAATGTTATCTTATGCTTTTTAAACGATAGCACACTTGTCATGTGGAAGATAAAAATATTTAATTTGGCAGTGGAAACACGTTTCTTTTAAACAGTTGAGTTTGTTGATTAAACTCCACATATAATGTGTTTTGTAGAGCGGCAACACACCTTTTTTATATCGTCGAGTTTTTGATTAAATCTGAAAAACAAATCTTTTACTCTTTATAGTCACAATGCCAAGTTTTTAATGCGCAGTTCCTTAGATTCCCACAAAATATGAAATAAATAAATAAATGTAAAAAATTCAAAATTCAGGCTTCGAGGTGTACATATTTGGGTGAAAGGCTTTGTGTGTTCAAAACGTGGCATCGTTTTAACAAAATGCGAAGAACATATACTTGCAGGTTCTTCATTATTTAATAATAGAGAATAAGTGGTCCTTTTTTCTTGACCATCCCACATGTATATGAAGCAGCAGAATTTAATCCTAGTCATAATCCAAGTAGAAGAGCTATCACTTCAAGTCTTCACGTATCTTCCAATAATTCTCTATATAATGTTGAATAACAAATAGCAGAGGCACATAAATTATATATCAGCTATAGGCACTTGATAGGTTTTGATTCTACTGCCAAACAGCAGAGCTTTCAATCTTGCTTTGAGAAATTAATGAACAGACATATTTTTCGAGCTTTTGCTCAGTCCTAATTACACAGATTTTTCAACACCATTGCATAAAATGAGTCCTCCTTATTTAGGATACTCAAATTCTGCCCATTGTTGACAGAAGAAACATAATTTGATCTCCTTCTGTAGTAGGTTTCAGCCTTTTGAATCTTGATATGAGTAAGTCTGATTTAGATAAATCAAAATTACAAACCTAATCATTTATATAACTAAGAGAGGCTCAGAAGCAACAGCACTTTCTATAAATACTGGATCACATAAGTAATGATGTAACGCATCCCTAAAGTATCACAATTTTTATATCTAAGTATCAAGTTCTGAGGGCATGAGGCACTAGTCTTAATTGCTGATGGACGGACATTGATAAATATTATATCTATAGGCACTAAGGATTTTCTCGATATGTTAGTGATATAGAAACAAATATGTGATTACGGCAGATTATGTGATTACGGCAAAGCCTTCGAAGATATGTGACTAAGGAGAGGGTTGCCTTCGTGGATGGCTTTCTAAGGGTAACTGATATACACGTTACACATGGGGAGAACCACGAAAACGGCCATGCAGCCAGCCCATTTGCGGGATTCAACCTCGAACCGAACTACCAGTGGCCAACAACTTTACCTCTCAACCGCTGGTGGGACCGAAATATTGGATAGGTACAACATATCAGATTTTGGTCTAGTCTGCTATAAAAATACAGCTCATAAGCTTTTTTTTTTTTTTTTTTTTTGGGTAAGTATGCAATTGATTAATGGTTTCCGGAAGATTTGATGCTAACTCAATAAACAGTATTTCTTCTATCGAATACCTAGAATTTCTAAAAAGATAACTTTTTTAGCACAAAATTTGGTCACCAAACTCCAGATGACACCTTTCAGTAACCTTTTGTATTGTCCTTACTTTATTTGTTAAAATAATACAGTCAAAAGTCATTAATCCGGACTCGTCGGGACTTCGGCGATTCCGGATTATAGATCATCAGTTTAAATCTGGTAAGATAGCATGCAGAAATTATAAAATTAAAAATATGAAACCGTAATTTATGAAATAAAGAGCAATTATGATTTAAAGGGTTTCAAAATTTAAAAAAAAAAAAAAGCTTAATATTTATTTGTTTACTTTATTAAACATTTCTTTCAATGTAAGTTGTTTAAATTGCTTCGTTTTTTATGTGCAAATACATTCTCTTTAGTTCTATAAACAGACATAATTTCTTGTTCAGTTACAAAGTTCCGCTGTTCAAGTCCTATAATTGCTGTGTCGAGAATACCGACTAATTTGTCAATCGAAATTTTTTCGTTTTCAATAAACTCTGTCACTTTCTTCGCTATCGGAAGCGAATTATAATAACGAGGAATTTGATTTAAATCATATCAGGAGTACATCGAGATGAAATACTACATTTAGTAAGGAATTATAAGCCAAATAAAATAAAAACATCTGCCCTGAAGATAAGTATAGTGCTGACAGATCAACTTCCAATTCATTGCGCGCCACGGTGTTAAAGATAAACAAATGTTAAAGTTTAGATAAACAAAGGATATGCCTTTATCCATTTTTTGCAGCAATTCCACTTTTCGTTTAATGGACTTCGAAACATACTTTCGCTTTGTAGATCCTTTACATATTAGTAAATATATATGAGAAATTCTATTTGACATAATCGAAAGTTCAAGCTTACTTTTATAAAATTTCTCTAACAGTCTGCAAAAAATAATAAGCCAAATCCAATTCGAAGATTAAGGAACAACGCAATCTGCAACATTAACTGAATTGGATAATTTTAGCTTAGCTTATACCGTTCGTTATACATTAAACGCGCATTCGTAAACGTATTTTTCGCACGCGCACAAGCATATTCGCAGCCGTAAATGTCTTACGTGCATGCGTCTACGCGACGCATGCGCAGAAAGTTGGTAGCTTTGAGGTCCGTATTATGGGTGTCCGAATTAACGACTTTTGACTGTATAAGGTTAGCCTTAAGGCTAAAAAAGTAATAGTAGTAAATTTAAGAAAAAGAATGTGGGTACCTCAATAAATCTGATTTAATTTTTGTAATCAAAGGTGAGAGCCAGCATAAATTATATAGTTAACAAAATCCCTGTCGACATGTGTTATATTAATATGCACTGTCTCCTTCTCAGTCATATTAATTGTTCATATTTACCTTTGAGATTAGACACCATCTAAGATAAAATACTAATTTTTATACAAAGTTTCATTTCAAAGAATTTAGTCAGCCCACTGGTAGGAAAGAACTAAAAGCTACAGAATGTTGGCAGTCCATCTTAAGGGCTTTTCTCAAATGCATACTCTCATATAGTTACTAAATTTTTAAAATATTGATCAAACAAATATGGCCTTTTTTAAGTACTTAGATTTCAAATGTTTATATAAGTCTGTTTAATATACAACAAACATAAAAGAGAGCATCAGTTCTTTAAATTTTGGAAAAAGAATTTTTAATTCGATTCTGAAGATATACCATAATAAAATTAAAATAAAGAAAGCTGGAAGCCTTTATACTTTACATCTAACTGCTATATCATTTAATCTAGTTAAAAATGTTGAAAAGTTTCACAATTCCAAAAGCAATTTTAATATGAAGGCTAGCCAGCATCTTCTTAATCACATTACCTGAACTTGTATTGTGCTTAAAACAAAATCCTTTCAATTTATAAAGCAAAAGAGTCAATTAAATTTCACAAGGACTGGAGATAGCTTTTTTATATTTGATGTTTCTAACAAGCACATTTTAGGTAAAACTCTTTTACAACATACTGAGGTCAAATGGCTACCATTCACACAAAGGCCAACATATAAATTTTACTTGCATCTTTAAATAATTAAACAAATATGAATATATAATACAAAGAATTTACTTGTTGCTTTTTGTACATTATCCAATTTAAAAACTAAATTTCTCAAAGTAAAGAATTATTCCATGGATTTCCATGGGAGCAGCACACAGGATACGTGACCCTGGTCCTTGTATAATATTCAAAATATGTAAAATATCCCAAATTTAGATTTTAAAAATATAAAATTACAAGTAGGAATAAAATGTTAAATTTTGTATTTCATGCCTTTCCAGATATTGACAATTTATCTTACTGGCTAGCAATATCATTTAATACAGTTAAAAAATATAATACAAACCTGGAGAGTTTGTTACTGTTGTTATCAGGGTATAAATGAAGTGTGTAAAGAGAGTACAGTAAAACCCCGCTTAACGCTGTTTCGGTTTAGCGTTCTTTTATTTCAACCCGGGGATTCCCCGAAATTGTGCGCAGCACTACACCGAAAGAGTGCAGTTGTGTTTCTTGTTTGGTGTGGTGCTGTATGGACGCATTTTTATGATTGGAAACATTTGTTGACATTATTGTAAGTATAAATTTATATAATACTATAACAATTAATACAGTGACAAATATTATGATCTTTAGTTTTTATCATGGGTGATAGTAAAAAACAAGGAAAAAAAAAAAGCAACCAGAAAAAGCATTTCATTGGAAACTAAAATGCAAGTGATTAGAAGATTAGATTCTGATGAACGTCAATCTCAAATTAGTGCTGCATTGAACTCGGCAACTTCAACAATAAGGACAATTCTTAAGAATAAAGAAAAATTCTGTCATCGGCAACTGCAACTGCATCAAGCTCTGCAACTAGAATTACCCGTTCTAGGAATAACATTATAGAGGAAATGGAAAAACGACTGTCTATATGGATTGACGACGATGAATGCAATATGCCATTAAGCCAATCTATCATAATGCCTTCTTGACAAAAAGGCAGAAAATTAGAAACACAGAATAGACTAAATGATCTGACTGACTTAGAATTTTGTTTGTTTTTATAAGTATATTAATTTATATTGCTTTTATTTTTGTAAGGAATAAATGTTTGGTTTTATTTTTATTACAAAAAACATTAGTGAATTTAATACCTCACCAATTTTCTATCCATCTTTTCCTAACTCCATAATTTACATGTTAAGATAGCCTCGTTTAGCACTGTTTCGCATTACGCTCTACTTTGAGGGAACATATCCCCGGGTTAAGCGGGGTCTTACTGTATTTGTAACAGACAATTTACAAAATAAACTGGATTAAAATGATGTGAATTGTCACACAAACTTAAAAAAAAATAATAATAAATAAAAAATAAACAGCTGCAAAGAGGACCAGAAAATCTAATTTTGTAGTACATCAAAAGAATGATTTCTTTCACAATTCAGGAAAACTGAGTTTTTTAATTCTACTTTATTACTGAAATGATAATTAGATGCAATTAATTTGCTGAAATCTCTAACATACGGTTTGGAAAAAAAATAAATAAGTGATATTGTTCACCCCATTCTTTTGGGCCGGGGGGGGGTAGTTCTTATATATAACACATTAAAATGAAGCCATGAAAATGTACAAAAAGATGAAATATATTATAAATTTACATATTTAAAATTTTAGATTATTTTTTAAATACATAAATGAAAAATGTTCCATATATGGTTTTCATAAAAATACTCTATATTAAATATATAATTTACACTGGTGCTAGGTCAGCTCCATGCATATAATCACCCAGAGCATAGATTTTCAGAAGATGCCAAGTGACAATAAAATAAAAGTACCTTTTACTTTGAATTATTAATGTGTTTAATTTATAACAGATGCTAAAAAAGCTGGAGATAGGCTTGTGTTAATGACATCTATGTTGAAAAAACAGAAAAAGGGGGATGCTTTATAACAAGCTTTACTTCTCCTTCAGTTTTGTAAATTAGGCCATGCAAGAGAAGAAGCATTCCGTGGACCAATTTTGTCTTTGAATCATAAAACGTATGTTGTCATTTCTTCCTTTGTGACTGGAAAAAGTCACATCTATATTGGCTTCAAATGTCTATAATAGATCAGCATAAATGATCAAACCATTCCTTTTTATATGAGGTGAAACCAAGAAAATGCCATGCAGTCAGCCTGAAACTAAACCTAAATTGAATTACCAGTGTTCAGCAACTTACATAACTCAGCAGCTGGTCGGACCACATGATGCACAGTGCACCATTTTGCAATAACTTAAGTCTTCCAGTATTTTTTGTACTACACTGTTATGACAGGCCACATATATATTTTTTTTAAATAACTTTATCATCCATTCATGATTTCTGCTCTTAGTTGCAGTTAATGCATAGGGTCTTCAATTCTTCATTTGCACGAGCATATAACTTTTATCAATTGGAATCATCTTCATTAACATCTTTTAGCTTTCAGTCAATGCCAAGTTGAATGCATGATTTTTTTATCAGGAACTGTATAAGAGCATACAGTTTATACTTCATGTCTATTACTTACTTACAAAGAAGAAAAGGATTATTACATGTTCATATGCAAGAATACTAAATTCTGGCAATATATAGAATTTGAGCACTGTATCATAGTTAATATGAAATTTAATTGAATATTGTGTTAATTAAACAGAGTTCTCCTACAAGGGAGAAAAAAGTAAATAAATAAATAACCTAAATATCATGCTTAAAATAAAATCAAGCTAATATTTTCCAATATAAAGTTAATGAATTTGATAAATGATGTTAACACATATTTTTTTAATTTTAAGCTGTGCATTTAAAAAAAACTGGACAATTTTTTTTTCTTGTTCTAGTGAAAGTTTACCAAAATTGTATATAATGGCCTATCAGTAGTGGAATATTAAAAAACAACCAGAAAAGATTTCAGATCAGATTGTGGTAGAAATTAAATATGATATTTTTTGTAAATATAAATTATTTCATATATTTCTCAACAATCAGCATGTATTTGCAAAAACATTTCATCTAAAGTGTTAAAGATACTTCAAGCTTAATATTTCTTGCCTACTTTATTAGCATTAATTTGTGTTATATATTTTTTCTCCCAGTTATTCAGACATCAACACCTGGAGTAGAGATAAAACGAAAATGCATTAAATTGACATCTGCAGATGCTTGTGAGGAAGATCATTAAATTGTGAAAAAAGGATAGAAAAGAACAACAGGATCTTCAATCATCATGTAACATAAAATAAAGAAAAGAAATATATTAATGAAATAAAAGCCTTATAATTTTTTATTTTACAATGAAAGTAAACTACAAAGAAAATATATTTAGCAATACATATCAAAATATGCAGAAGTACCAGAATTCAAAATAAGTCATCTTGTATTCTTTGGATAACTAAATGAGAAACTAAGCTCTAGGGCATGCAAAAGTTATTTTAATAAAAGGAAACAATTTTGAAAATTTCAAAATAAGTACATCATTTTACATTACATTACATTTTTTTTTTTTCATTATCACAATATACAAATGTTGATTATAATGCTATTACAAAAACAGAAAAATTACACATTCACATAAAAAGGGAAAATACAAAGGCTTTACTTCATAAAATATTTTTCGGAGGAAAAAATTCTATACAGTAATGCAATAAACATCACTGAATGATATACTATGAGATTATGACACGTAATTTTTTAGTACAATGAAAATTACAGAATATATGTTAAAACATGTCACTGATTCTTTGTCGCTTGCCGCCTCAGAAGAATGTAAATTTTCTCCTTTATCCAATCCTTGTTGTATGGAGCATATGTCATAGTAGACTTCTGGAAGCTTTGGAAATAATAAAAAATTCAGTTAATGTAGAATTCAAACAGATTTTAAAATCTAAATATAAAAAATTCTTTAGTAGTAACGGAATCAACTTTGGAAGCAAAATTTTAAAATACTCTGTTAAGAATAAAATATATATGCATATTTAAAAAACTCAGCTACAGTAGCAAAGATTGACATGCAAATATTGTTTAAAGAACTGTATAAATGATCAGTTTCCACATGATGTTATACAGCTTGTTCATTATGCATACGAGAATCATGCATTGCAAAGTATTTAAAAAAAAACCAGTGTTCTATTTCATAGATAGATAAAAGCTACTTATTGAGCGTAAATAGGTAGTTTTCGTGGCTTTTTACTTCTTTGTACAAAGTAAAGAAGTATTGTAATCACGAAAATCTTCAGGTGTCGTATTTTAATGAAAATATCCATTCTGACCACTATCAAATGCAATTTAATGATGTTTTTGCGTGACATCTGTATGTAAGGACAAAATAAAAGAAATTTTCCTGAAACAGGTTTGTGATATCATCCCCCTCTTCATCTACCGCCTCATAGCGAAATAACTCCAACATTTGTTGCACAAACACAAAACTAATACTAACCACAATACTAATAACTGAAATATATACAAAGTAATAAAAGTTAATTTCGGTTTCATTAATGGCTCCCACGAGCCTTCTCTATGACCTCTCTGTCGGGAACCCTCTTGGAAACTAAAACTTTTGGCGCCTTCAGATTAAGAGCCAGCACCCTCTATACATCTCGTTGGTTGGCGTCACCCATACATCACAAGGTTGCAAAAAGGATTTAAAATGGATTCAGAACAGACTTTTTTTTCATGATGTACGTATGTACGTGTCTCGCACAACTCAAAAACGAGTAGCCTCGGAAGACTGAAATTTGTGTTCCTGCCAAATTTTGTGTCAATCAAAGCAGTATTTGTTGATTTTTTTGCATTTTACATCTTCGTGCTTAACTTTTGGAAGTGAGTGTATTTTTCAATATTTTTCTATTTTTAACAAAAATATTTTGAGGTTTTGCATATTTGTTCCTTCTGGCGAAGTGAAAATTGAATTAATTGAATTAGAAATATATCTCTAACGAAATTTGACGCAAAAAGTTTAAATGAAATGCAGGAAAAAATGAGTATAATTTAATATTCTGTATAAGGAAGTCCCGTGATGTACATCAGATTTTTTTAACAAAGATTCCGAAACTATCGATATTTATCTTAAGTCGGTAAACATCATCAACATACAAAAAAAGAGAACATACTTTATCAATTTAAAATATAAATTTGAATTATTAAATAAGGATTAAATGATAAGCCAAAAAATAAAACCCAAACAATCTTCTTCAAATCTTTCTGTAAATTTTTTTGTCCTATTCTTCTCCTGTTTTTACTTCCAAAAACAACAGAGAATCACAAAGCTTCATGTAATCCTAAGCAAAAGCGACTATCGAAGAAATGTTCATTTTTCCCCATTGTTTCTTTGTTCATTTTTCTTCACTGTTTTATTTCATATTTCCTTTTTTTTTAAAGAAAATTTTCTGCAAAATTGTAGAAATTTTACTGCACTGCTGAAAAATTCCACAAGCTCATATTTTAAAACTAAGTTGAAGGCAAAAATATCACGATTTGTTTATAAAAACAATTTGAACTCGAATACTATGAAAAGAGCGAATATGAAAATGGCATGACTAACCATGATTGTCAGAAGAATGGTTATGTACATAGTTACCAGAATTTGGCATATTCTGAAAATTCGGCAATGTCTACTAAGGCAATTTGCATTAGCACGTAAGTACCTTTTGTTCTGAGTAAGATTATCTTACATTTAAAAAATTGCTACTGGTAATACTGCACTGAATTTAAGCTTAATTAATGCACAACAGAAGCAAACAGTTTTTGGCAATATGGACAATAGATGGATAATAAATCCTCTTAAAATGTACTCAATACTATATACGCTCACGTAACGTCTGCACTTTTTCCCCTAAAATTATATCACTAAAATGCACGTGTTGACATTACACGGGTTGTGCAAATGTCACACTTTTTCTCGTGAGTAATTTTGGGTGTAAATTTCATTTCAAACAGCCAAGTTAAGTTCTAAGTGGAAGAAAATAGCATAAGCAGTAAAAGTATCAAACTTAATGTTGTCTAATAGCTACCTAAAATTTACAAACATATATTAATATAAATTATCCTGCTTACGGTATCAACACTAGGCGCGTATCAGTTCGCACAGGAGCACAAATTAACCAACACTTGCAATTTTAATATTTACTTTTACACAAATTAAATAAACATTGGATCTTTTAATATCTTGCACACATTTTTTTTAAATCTTTTCTGACGCACTGCATGAAAATCAATTTCATTTCATCATTTACTGCAACCACCTCTCAATCACCTTGAATTGTGATGTAGGAATGTCTTCTACTTGTGCTATAGCAAGCGCTCTTATTTGGCACATTTCCCGTGTTACTGCCTACCCTTGAACACACGTAATCATGAACATTCATAACTACTTTTTTTTAATTCAGAAAATTGCATTCCGAACCACGAAACGCACATCTTGGTTTTGTTCTTTGATGCCAGTTCATCACGATATTAGCTCCAATCACACAAACACTTTTTGTCCTCCTTATATACTCTTGCTGCTGCTTTTTCCATTTTCCTGTGCTAACTGTAAGACTTTCAGTTTAAAAGCCGCTGTATTTTCGCTTTTCAACCACGCTACTTGCTAACTACCATGAATTCTAAATGATACTATGAATGAAAAGAGAAAGCTTGAAATATGCAAATGCTCTGAGGAGAAAGAAGGGGAAAGTAATTTCATTACAAAACAGTATGGAAGCCAGTATGGTGAAAACCTGCTTGGATTGCCTTCGTTTATCATCACGTCTGCTGAGTGGATTGCTGGGGTCGATGTTATGACTGAAGAGCTGCACTAAAATGCAAGGAAAGTCTCTGCTTTCCATCCTGGTGCCAACCAAAGACAAAACAAATGCATTAAATATGTTTACTGACTATAGGGGGGGAAAGGCGATGTTAAAAAAATAAGTGAGAAATTCTTTAGTTTTTGGGGTGTGGACATTGTGTGGGTTACTTTTTTTTACATAATTTTTATCTGTAAAGTTGAGGTGCGGACATTACACGAGCGCATACGGTAAAACTTTGTTATAGCCTTCCGCAAGACTGAATCGGCAATCAACCAAATTATCTTGCCAAAAATCTGGCTGTGTTCTTATACGTCGCTACGTAACCATATATTAACAACAATGTTGCGCTTTCGCTCTCACTGTGTGTTCCAGGCACACAGCAAGAGCTATTATGCATTTTTGATGACGTTTTCAAATTTACACTGTTTATTCAAAAATTTAGTCACTGCTCTTTTGTGTGAATATAATAAATATTAAATTTACCAAGTAATGAGGTAGAGCCATATCATTTTTTTAAGAAAGAGGACTTTTACCTGACAAACAAGTACGTGAAAATGGCTCCAACACGAACTATGTTAACAACGAAACCATTTTAAGGGGCAATGTTAAAAATTCCATGACAAACCCATTTCAAGTTGCATTGTTAAAAGAAGGGCCTCCCTCCATGTTGGAAACTGGTACAATGGTTCTAGAATATCATTCGTCACTGATATTAGATTTATGCATTCTTGAGCAAGGAGTGATCCATGAAATAAATGTAACAAACAGCTTAATATATATTCAAAGTTGGAAGTTTGATAGAAAGTGCAAGTTGACTGGAACAATTACATGCAATATAATGATAATAAGGATTCTTTAAAATAATCTTAGGAAAACAAATGTGAGTATTAATGTTATTATTATAGTGTTGTTTATTTTTTCATATGCACTTCAACAGCATCATTGAAACAAATTTAAAATCGCCAAATATGGTTGGGTTGGCTATATCAAAGAAATACCAAACTAAGAAATATTAATGGCATGATAAAACTTAAAAAATAAAAAGATTAAAATGCAGAAAAACACTTCTGCAAAAGCATGAAACATAAACAGCATATTCTACCAGTAGTGATCTTTTTTTTTGGCATTCGGTTTACAGTGTTACGTAACATCAGGAAAGCATGGAAACAGGCTCACAATAAAAAAGGCAAATGAATAAAGAGATGAACTACTGTTTGACTACTGTTTTCATAGGAATTTTAATTTATATAACTTCAAAACAAGACATACAGACACCCACTACTTCAGACATACAGACGCTGCTGTACGACCCTGCTGACAACAATGGTTGTATTAGCTAGGAAGGCACCATATGATGATAGAGAACTACACGACAAGATTGGTTCACTGTGCTACAGGCTTTCAATGCTATAATAGTGTTGCTCACATTGTGATGCACAAATATTACCTATGTGCAATTAACAATAGCTTTAAACCCCATTTCACACCATCTGCAAAAGTAGAGATTTGTTTGAACAATGACTCATCACCAATCCAGCAGATTTCAATTACGCTGGGCTATTTACAAGCAGCATGATTTGGTTTGGTTTATTTGAGTATGGCAAAGCACTCGAGGGCTATCTTCCTAGGAGGAGAGATGTCTTTATGGTGTACTTTCGAAGAGAAACTGGCTCGTATACACATTACACATGGGGAAAACCATGAAAACGGCCATGCAGCCAGCCTGTTCAATTCCCGATTGAACTACCAGTGTTCAGCCACTTTACCACTTGGCTGAGGGTGGCCCTATTTTAAGGCAGCAATCAATATCTAACAACTGGATCAGCCACAGCAAAACACCTAATAAATTCTCTGATAGGTTAAATATTAAAATTTTGTATATCTCAATGCCAAGGTATCTAGAGAGCTAGAGCATGCTTTACAGTTATTTATTCTACACAGTCAAAAGTCTTTAATCCGGACTCGCCTGGACTTCCACGATTCCGGATTATCGGTTTTTCCGGATTATAGATCATTAGTTTAAATCTGGTAAGATGGCATGCAGAAATTATAAAATTAAAAATATGAAAATGTAATTTATGAAATAAAGAGCAATTATGATCTAAAGGTATCAAAATTTACAAAAAAAAAGCTTAATATTTGTTTGTTTACTTTATTAAACATTTCTTTTAACGCGGGCATGCGTAAAGCATACATTACGCATAGTCAAAATTATTCGTGATATTTATAATGACGAGGAATTTGATTTAAATCACATCAAAAGACGGAGTACATCGCAATGAAATACTACATTTAGTAAGGAATTATAAGCTGAATAAAATAAAAACATCTGCCCTGAAGATAAGGATAGCGCTGACAGATCAACTTCCAGTTCATTGCGCGCTGCGACATTGGAATGGTTAGGTAAAATGAGAAGATTGAGGTAAACAAAGGATATGCCTTTATCCATTTTTTGCAGCAATTCCACTTTTTTTTTTTTTTTTTTTTTTTATGGACATCGAAACATGCTTTCGCTTTGTAGATCCTTTGGCAGCTCCAGAATCGGAAAATCTTTTTACATAATCGAAAGTTCAAGCTTACTTTTATAAAATTACTCTAACAGTCTGCAAAAAATAATAAGCCGGATCCAATTAAAAGATTAAGGAACAACGCAATCTGCATTATTAACTGAAATAGATTAATTAGATAGTTTTAGCTTAGCTTATATCATCCATTATACATTAAACGTGCATGCATAAAGGTATTATGCGTCTACCCATGCGCAGAAAGTTCGTAGCTTTGAGGTCCAGATTACAGATCACTGCTGATTATGGACGTCCAGATTAATGACTTTTGACTGTATATGATTGCTGTTTATCAATAAATTATCTCACAAAGTTCAAATTGTACACAAAAAGCTAAGATTCTGCTTACACCAAACAGCTGAGATCATCCAGATTATCAATGAAGTCAAACAGCTGACTTATATCATAAGTGATTGAAGCTGTATTCGGATTCTGTCTTTTGAGATGGTCTTCAAATAGATGGCAAACACCTAGATGGGAAAATATTTATGTAACTCAAACTGAATATTAGAAAGTATACATCACTATAAAAGAAATTAATGTTAAAATTTCTTTGAATTGATTTTTTGACATCTGCATTTCATATGAACATAAATATACATATAAAGTATCCATATAAATATTAAAACAAAACAAAATGTCACAAAAAGATATCAACATTATTAATCATAAAGTTGATTTCAATTAGTAAGTTTGTAAAGTTAATTTATCCACAAATATAAAATATTTATTTGTACTTGTTTTTGCATATACAAGTTATATCATGTTTTGGCATTAAATATTTTACATATACAACAACCCACAAACATCTAAACAGATTTCATAATCTAAAATTATATGAATTTTTTATGTCTCAAGGCAGAAAAATAATCTGGAAATTCTGCATTTGCTCTTGATTTTAGCAATTTATTTCTGAGAAGTCAAGTATTCTTGACTCCATTATTATGGAGTACATATGATTAAGTGTGAGAACTAGTTCCACCTGTCTAGCTATGTGAAGTTCCAATATGTTTATGAGGATACTGTGACAACTGAAGTTCACATGGAACTGTTTTGAGAACTTGTGAATGAGTTAGATGATAGGAACAAACACTCGGCTGCTACCAACAAGATAGCATGTTATACAAGTGGGAATATACTCCTCAAGTGGGAATGGTTGAGGCAGAATTATTTTTCTTTGAAAACGTCATTTCAAAAGGATTGGCCTCCATCACTAGATTTGAAGCCACCTGACATTTTCCTGTACAGCAATCTTAAAGGTTAAGGTATAGAGGAACAAATCACATGTTCTTGATGAACCATGGCAGAATATCTGCTAAGATACAGGCAGTAACACCTGATATTCTGGCAGCAACACTCATGAATTTGCAATGGCTTGTTGAACTGTGTTTAGATGTTTGGGAAGATCATCAGCCATCTCTTATAATTTATTTTCATTTCTTACATACACAGCTTCAAATTTCATTTCCGTTCCATTTACCTTTTTTACACTATGTCTGGAGCCCTTTTCAAATCAGACACCCATTATTTCAGGCAGTTAAATTTCACAACAGTAACTTTAAACATTTCACAAATTATTTTTTCCCTCTTGAAGTCAAATATGCTATTCTCTTTTTTTCTGTCATCTTTTGCAACACAATGTTACTATAAAATGTGTCTAGTCTATGCATGTATTATAATTACACTTATAGCTTGCATATAGTATGCCACCCAATCGGTATAGTGGTTAGCATCGCTGACTGCTTACCCCCTTTATCTTGGTCTGCATAATTTACCAAAGTTTCACATCTGCATTTTGTTTCAGCAAATAAATTTTTGAAGAAAGTTTTATTACATCTAATTTAACAAACAAAAATAGCAATATGATCTTAATTACTTGCTTTCAAATAAATTCCGTGCATAAGTGCTATAAAAAATAAAGGCGGCAAAAAATTTACACAGATGAGGTGTAAAAATATATACTCCAAATAAAAAGGCAGGAAACATGAGTAAAAAATCATATATTATCATCCATACAATTAAAACGGATGCAGTAAAATCAGGAATCTTATAATACTGGTGCTGATGTCAGCCAGCACCAGTACTGTAAGAAGTTGCCTTCTGAAAGCTAGATTAAAAGCTAGTTGAAAGCTTGAAGACCACACAGAAAACTACAGCTGATACTTTCCGTCACAAAAAAAAATTATATTCTTTGGCCCAACTCATGCCACATAGCCCTCTCAGAACTGGAGCAGGATATTTAATTATAAATCCAAATACTTTAAACTACTCACCTTTCAATTCCTACTCAAATTTTAAAGCCTCTTACTCTACTGCTTTCTAATTGAGAAATATTTCTGTTAGTATTTTTGACAAGATAATTTTTTTCTGATTTCAATCCAAATACTTAAAGGCAAAGTTTGGCATGTTCATAGGAGGACAGGACACACAATGGTTGCATTTTAACTAAGGTGAAGTACCCTACATCTACAATGACCTGAAGTTGCACATTTAAAAATAAAAAAAGCTGCAGTACTGAATACATCAAAATAATTAAAGGGAAAGTAAATTCACAAAATGCAAAGAGATCTAGGGAAAATATTTCTTTCCATAGTTCAGTGTTTTAAAAATTTCAGCAGGTGAAATTTTTAACCCCCTCCCCCCCAAAAAAAATAATTAAAAAAAACTCATGAACCTCCTTCTTCCTTCATAATATAATCAGAATCCTGAAAAATTATTTTACTTCTAAAGAGTTTCAAGTGTTAACTTTACCTGGTAATAGTCTTGATGTGAACATTATTGAAGGAATAGGGAATATTTTCAAAAAAAAAAAAAAAAAAAAAAAAAAAAAGAGTTCCTGAAGAAGGAATATTAGATTTGGATAAACTAATTAAAAGAGTCTAGAAAATATGGGATCATGATAAAAATCTGTAGCAGCATTACGAAGTCTTTACAGAAGGAATGCCCAACAAAATCTAGGAACTATTAAAAAGTCAAAGCTTCATACTAAAAACTGAAAATTTGATTAATAAAATTAAAGCTTTATACTAAATATTAAAATATATTAATATTATTTAAGCCTTATAAAAAACTGAAAATTTGATTAATAAAATTAAAAGCTTTATACTAAATATTAAAATATATTAATATTATTTAAGCCTTTGGCGGAGGATGCCTCGGTCACTGAACCATTTTCTTGGGATGGCATGCTGACAGAAAGCACAGTAGTGTTGGGACAGGCATTTTGCACTGCTAAGCCTAACTTTCAAAAACAAATTTGCATAAATTAAATTTGTGATCAAATTTTTCCAATTTTTGGCACATTATAAGAGGAACACTCAGGTAGTCAGAATAAACTTCAAAACTTTATATTTTCCTTGCCATTTGAAGTATAAAAAATGTTTTGCTACATGATACACAAAATACTTCCCTCAAATGCTAGCCAAATTTCAAAAGGAATGAATAAAACCCCTAAAACAATAGTGCATATACCCCCATATCACCAAAAATAAAAATTTAAATGTTCAGAAGCAGAGAACATCCCTATGTATTTATTCAGCCGGCACAGTTAACAGTCAGCTCTGTTTATTTACATTACTCAACCTGACACCCCCCATAAAAAATATAAAATTCTGCCTTGATCCCCCCATACAAAAATACTGCAATGGAATGAAGGTCAATAATTTTCATTTTTGGTAAATTCTACTATAACAGACATAAGGATACATCTAGTGGCAAAAAAAAAAAAAAAAAGATACAAACTAAACATTCTGTCTAAAAATTCATATGTGGTATAGTTCAGCTTTGAGAAGGCAGCATTTCAGTTGTAGTTTCAGGAGACAATTCTTCAAATACAGTGAGAGGTAAATTTTTTAGTTGTAACAAAACCACAGTTGTTTCCTGATTTGATTTGGCACCGTTAGCACTTTTTATTTATTTTTTTTTTTTGTTAGAAATCATGATCTCTGCTGAAATAGGTAGCAAAGAGGCAGTCTGGTACAGCAAAAGAATCATTTGAAAAAAGTACTATCGGCAAATATCATCTGTTTTTTAACATTCCTAAGGTAGTAGTCCAAAATTAAAAATGAATGGCTCCAAGGTCATACACCAACTTACCGCTGTCATACCCAACTTACCATTTAAAGGACATTTCATTAATGGCATACCTGGCTCTGTGATACAGTTGACAGCCAATACATATAACCCACCTATTTCAAAAGGGTTAAAATATATTTCATTATAAGTTTTTTGTTTGGAAATATCATTAAATGTAGTTAATGTATAATAAATTACCCTTAGTCATAGCACTGTGTCTTAAGCAACAAGGTTTTTCAGATATCCATAATAATTTGATATATCCATAATGTCCTTTTGTACCTTTAATTTGAACACCCCTAATAAATTATGCAGTATATTGTCAAATCATAATAGATTTACATGGTTACAATTGCATTTTTTTTTCTTTCTAAAAATATTCATTAAAAAGCACTAAGAACATTTTACAGCAGTTATAATTAATGATACTTTTCTAAAACAATATTTTTATATTTATACATTAAAAGCTAGAAAACATTTATGTTTTGTAGCAACAAACTAAATATTTGTCTTTTTAATTTACAAATTTTCCATATATTTTAGCTAACTTGCATGAACCTCCTTCTTTTTAAAGCATCTTTTCTAAGTTGTTTCAATAAATAAGTTAACGTTCCCACTAATCTCTGCTTTATCTCCTAATTAGTTAATGCCTCTCTGAAGCTTCAGCCTATTTCCTCTTCATTTTAGAATTTCCAAATTTTATTAAAGCATCTGTTATTCTAAAGAACTGCTTGTACTTAGAATGTATACAAGAAAATGTTAATTTTACTTCTTTAATAATATGAGTATTGATATTAAATATGAAACGATATAAAGTTAGGGCCCGTGCCAGAGCCAGCATGGGTGAATTTTTTAATAAGTTGTTGGTTTTCAACTTCTTTGTTTGCTTCAGTATGCATGTCTAGCATAAAGATAAGAAAATAAAGGAAAGGCAAGCATATTAAGAGAAACACTTCTGAGATCAAAAGTAGAAGATTCCAAGAATTTTTTTCACTGTTCTTTCAAAAATTTTCCATGAAACACATCCATTACATGTTAATACCATGAAGACATTTTTCATTTTATTAAATTTTCCCGGAATTGTAGGTCTTGACTTTAAATCTAATCTAATTTTAATCTAAACCTACCAACTCTGTAAGAGCAAAAAGGTAAATGATCTGGTGAAGGGGGAGATCAGAAAAGAAAAGTGCAAAGTCAATTCTCAAAACAGAGACACGTTTAAATATTCTGACACGATTATATGGGGTAAAGCTCTTATTATGAAGAAAATATAAAAGAAGACAAATGAAGTTAATTTTAAAATAACTACAGAAACTTTTTTCCTTAATCTCAAAAGTGATGCTGGGAAACTGTGCTTTATACTTACACCATTTAGTCACCATTTTCCTAAGTCACA